GCATTCTTCAAAAGAAAATTTTAATTTTATTTGTTAGATAGATATTTTGTATGGATATAGAGAAGGAAGTAAATGGAAATCACAATTGAATTGATCAAGTTACATTTATTTGTACGCATAAATACAATTATGTCAATTTTTATGTGCGAGAGCGCGGAACGAGTGCTCTCGCTTGCACTTCAAGCCTTAATGGAACGCCTCAGAGCGAGGTAACGCCGCATGAGTCATGTTTTTTCGTGCGTGCAGCCGGCTCCATCGAATTATAAGACGTTGTCACGTCAAAAAAAAAAATTATACCGACTTTTTTAATAATATATATGTGTTTTAGCATGTTTCTCTTCTCTCTGAAATCAATGGAGAGCGACCATACAAATCAGTTTCATAGTTACGTCTGTATACAAGTGTAGTCATGTGTGTCATGTGTTTTATCTGTTCATAAACATTACGGTAGTGCATGACAAGTTTTTTTCGTCTATCCATTGCCAAACAAATGTGCAACACCCAACATCGCAAATGGGGGAGGTACATTTCAAAAAACTTGACAAACATCCCTGAAACATGTTTCTCAGTAAATACATAGTTTATAGAAAACAAAATGTATTATCAAACATCGCTTATTGATTACATACAACAATTTAATTATGGTGGGAAACAAATGACATACAATTTTTTTCACTAATCTTAATAAACTAAATAATAATTTTTGAAATAGAACCTAAGACATTACTATAAAACATCTGATATTTCTTAAAATATAGTTACAGTTTCTTGTGATTTGTTTTAGAAAATAAATTTGACTAGACAGCCCAAATGAAGTATTTTTATCTTCATACTAATAAAATAAAGGACAGTGACAAAATTGTTTACAGGTATACCTTTGGTTTAAGGTATTATATATATTTCAATAGAAAAATTGGAGTATGAAACATTGAATACAATTGAGCTAAAAAAATAAATTTACAAATGATTTGCTATCACAGATAATTCTAATACGAATCTAAGCGTCTTCGTAGTATTTGAGACTAAAATAAGAGCTACAATATAATATGTGAATAAATAGTATGCTAATTCTAATGTACAAATCTCTAGTCTTTCATACTTAAGACATTCGAAACTCAACGTTAAGTATGACTCCCGTAAGTTAAAAAAAGGAAATTCTTTATGACCTTATTAGAAACTATTTCTTTAAACACAGTAAATTTTGAAATTAAGTATTTACAAATTAATTGCTGCAAATTGCGATTGGCAAATTTGAAGTCGAAAATGTAATCCTTGTCAAATTCAAAGTCAAAACATACTATATGTCATATTTTAAGCCGATAAAGAGTTTACTTAAAAGCAACATGGGCGTAACGAAAAATGTGACGCGTAACGCAAAAATGTTACACTAAATTTTTTCCAACCCCGATAAAGAACATTTCACAAAATATTAGATTCTGACGTGCCGGAGTTGACGTTTCGACTTCGAGTCATTAATGGTAGATTCATAATAAAAGTTTCCTAAAGAATGGTGTTAAGAAATTTTATAGTGGGGTGGCTTGCGAGTACAAACTCAGGAGATCTTTTAATGTCTGATTGGATCTAGTGAGTTTAATTAAATCTTTGCTGTAATCATAATTGAATAACGATTTTAAGCTGTTATTCATAAACGATTGACTAGTTAATTATAGTTGTGTTAAATGTATTATTTCCAAAACGACAAAATAGGACAATTTATTAGCTATTTCTTCTGTACGTGTATAAAGGAAAATACATTAAACTTTTTGTGAAACAAATTGTAGCCTTATTTATGTACATTAGAGTTAGCATTAATATACAAAAATTTTAAATTTTGCCGGTTTTGAAAAAGTTTTGAAAAATTTCGTATTTCGCTTGTATTGATATGTGTGTGATCTATTACTTAATCAAATGTGCCCCTAGATCAAGGTCTAAGACCGTAATAGGAATTTAGTTACCCTTATTTGTTAATGACACTACACAACACTACAATTTAGTATATTCTTAAAGCGAATATTGTAACAATATCAACTGGAGATTGACAAAGCAATAATTTATATAACGTAGTTAATAATATGATTTTAACAATCACTAATTAAAAAGACATCTGAGGCCTTAACACGAACTTCACACGAATTCCATTTTGGGCGCGGCTCCGCTGTTACTGCGCCCCGTCTAGAGCTATTATTGTTGGTGCTTTGGGGTGTTAATAAGTATGCTCAGATCACGAGTCCCACGCAACCATCCGCTCGAAGCAATCGAGGCGAGGGAGATATGCGTAATGCATTTCCCCACAAGTATTAAATTAATAATTATCCATACACTTCGTTTAGGAAACGTTTCACGGAGCGCTTCCTATGTTTCCCATACAAAAATCTATTACTATTCTATTAGATTTCACGTATCGTTCGTGCTAAGGGTACAGGAGGTGAGAATGTTAAAAGACGAAAAGGCACGCGTTTCGTTTTTGACTTTGTCATTTGATCTAATGCTATGCTATAGTGGTCTAAGATCCCGATATACAACGACCTTCACCGAGATGCTTATTTAATGAAACGTATTTTATATTTAATTTAATATGTCAATAAATATAATCCATATGGGTTGCCTAGCAAAATTCAGTCCAGAGTATTTTAATTAATATTTAAAAAAAAATATTTTTTTAAACATTTCACCGGTATGATTATTAGATAAATTCTATACCAATCAAAAGTATGAAGCCCATAGAATATGCAAACGTTAGGTTGTTTTTAATCAATTAATTATTTATGTGTATATTTTTTATGTGACACTAAAGTATATATACATCTTTAGTAAAAGAGAAAGTTATAGTGATACATATATAATACTACCCTGATTAAAAATATTGATTGAAAAAAATTAAAAAAAATTACTACATGCAACATATAAAAAAATATTTTTTTTTTAAATATTAATTAAACATACTCTGGACTGAAATTTGCTAGGCAACCCATATGGATTATATTTATTGACATATTAAATTAAATATAAAATACGTTTCATTAAATAAGCATCTCGGTGAAGGTCGTTGTATATCGGGATCTTATACTATAGATAAAACACAGTAAAATTAAACGCGCCATCATTTCGTCTTTTGTTATTTTCTATTTTAAAAGCTTACGGTAGACATGCAATTTACATATTACATACTTCAAAACCATCTCTCTTCGATGACGTACAATGTCACAATTTTACATATAAATGTAATTTAGTGCGGTAAGAACACTTACATGTCTCACATTTTTTATTAACTAATATCTACTTATCACAATTGAAACGAGAAATTTTAAAAGTGAATTTGATGTTTCCGACAGATGAAGCGTTTGATACAGCGATACTTTTGTTTATTTTATTTGTTCATCTATATATATTACCAGAAATATTCCTTATAGATAAAGAAGATCTTAGTAACTTCAAGCAGATTTACAATCCAAATAGGGACCTTTGCCTAATAAATGAAAATAATCACCCAGATTAATATAATCTTGAAACAAGATTGTGTCTTGTGTAATTCTTGAACAATAAGTACATAATAATATACTCTTTGTCGAATCTATTGAAATATTAGTATAAGTGTGTCCACGCATTTAACTTGTCTGAATAAGATTATTATAAACTAATCAAAATTATGGAGATTATAGAATATGCAAATATAGCATGCATTTATTTCCATATTAATCAAGGTAACCTATTTAAATGCAGGTTTTAGGTAAATAAATTATATTTCCAATTATCTATTTAATGTAATATGTTTACAAAACACATCTCATTTCACAGTAATATCACTTTGACATCGCAAAATAACTGCCTTAAATTCCCGTTTGATCTTTATTCTGAAGGAATGTTTGCCAACTGATTGGATAATTAAAAACTATATATGAAAATATACGGAAATTTTATACTTTAATACAGCAAAGATTGTCCTATTTGGATCTGCTATTCATATATTTTTTATTACGGTTATATCATAAAAACTCAACCTCGTACGTCAGTAATAAAAAAAAAAAAAAATTTCAGCTTAGCAATCAGTAACCTCAATTTGGCCTTTAGGTTTTTAGAATTAATTTGCCTGTTGCTTATAAAATCAATCAGCATGACAAATTTTTCTACTTAGCGGTTCTTATTTCAAAACTCGAAAATATTTTGGCCAAATTGGGTTATTTTGTTGATAAATAGTTATTAACATTGGTTTACTTATAAAAGTTACTTTATCAGCATAAGACTCAGTCATATGTCAAATCCAATACATTTTTGAGATACGGGAGTCGCACTTAGCACTAAGTCTCATCTCTGAATCTGAGGGTATACTCATATAAACATCACTCGCAATGTTATGAATCATTTTCTATACTTTTAGTTTATCATAGAAATAGCTAAGACTAAAGCACTTAATTAGCAATATTAGTAATTTGATTTCTAAACATTTTATATTTGACACAATATACAATAAGTTTGAATTACTATACAGAATATATAGAAAAAGTTTTTTATTGCAAGTAAGGAAAATATTTTTATTACTGGGGTACTTTGAATCATTTTCTATCCTGAAATCAAAAAAGCGAAAGCTTTCAAATATAAATTTTGTAGGTATTTAAAATTGTTAAGATTCTAGAAGAAACAAAATCTCATAAAACACCATTCAACTATTACTAGAGTGCAATTATTAAAGTTTCTTGTATATTTCTGAAGCATTTTGCTCTCATATTAAACAATTATTAATGAAATACTGTTTAATAAACTTTTGATTTACAATCATTTTGAAAGTTGCTATTTACTAAACTACAGTAAACAGTTTAATTTCACCTTTTTCAAATTCACTTATTAATTTTAGTTTTTGAAGTATTTCTTAGTCATTGATCAGTCCGTCAAAACCATATTAATTACACTTACATATGAATGTTGCCAGTTCCCAAAACAATGGCGACTTTAGCAAGCTTTCCATATAGAATTAGGTCCGAGAGAAGCCTCACGGGCGACGAGGGTTAAATGTAGAAAATTATGGCGGGAATCTGGCCATCTTCCACAGATGTACCATTGTTATTTCCAGCGGCATATGAAAACTGAAAGACCACCTTTTCACCATTGTTGCAATCAACTGTTGCGCGACGAACACCTTTTGATCCGTAGTACGAGTCGGTGCCCTAAAAAAGAAGCAGTTTTATATAAGGATCAAAAGGAAGAAAGTGGAGGCGTGTGTCTAACATAAAAGGCTGATCACCTACTTGGGGAGCGTTCAAGTATTACGTCACGCATTTTTTGGAGATTATTGACCCCCCTCGCCCATGTAACGCGCCGTAACGTTTTTCTATACCCAATAGTAAAACGTTTCGTGACCACCCAGTTACTCTTTATACCTAAGTACTGGAAAGTCGAAAATAATACTAACAATAACGCGTAATTCAATCCCCGCCCCGCATCGTAACGTTTTACAAATGCCTATTATGAAGAATATATGGTCACAATACAAAAACAATTATTCTAAGGCCAAAGCCCAAAACCTTATTAACATCATATACTTAACAAAAGCTGTTTTCTTATTTAATAAGAATAGTTATATGTATGCATTTCAAGACCAAGAAGTAGTGTAGTAGTTTTGTTATTCATAGATTGAAACATTTCTAATTAAAATAGCACTTACCTTTAATTTAGCACTAGCAATATAAGAAGTGTTAGGAAGAATTTCAACTGGTTCTTTGAACATTGCCCTAAAAGTATCATCAGTTCCATCACAGCAAAATGTAGTTGTGTTTGAACCACACACTTTCTTTGTTGCCAGATGGATTATCTATAAATATAATAATAAAACTATTTATTTACCTCTCCAAGAGTTTGAATAAAGTTTACAGGTATTATCTTTGTAAGAGGCTTGTGCCCGTAATAGGTCTGAAGAAGCCCTGTCACCAGTAAATGTTTTTCAGTAAATGTTTTTACATATTAGTAGTATTAAAAAAATTAAAACATGTATGTTTATAGATAACTCTTAATAATTCTAACCCCTGAAACTAATCTATACAAATATTACAAAGAAGAAAGGTTATAAACCTTTCTTTTTTGAATGTTTAGGCTATATTTATTGTGAAATATATTAAAAAACAAATGTCCAGCTTTGCAAAGCTGGGACAGGCCGTAATTTGATACTTACTTGCAAGTGCACTTCATATTCACTTGGTCCAAAATATGATCCATACAACCCAAAACCAACAACAAAAATCCTCTGATCCACTGTAAATCTAATACGGTCTGTTGTCCCACTGTAGCCCCATCTGGATTCTGTTTGTGAGAACCTATTTACTGTCAACTCTTTGCCAGTCATACAACAGCGGGGTGTATCTAGAAATCCAACATTAGGTTTTGGATTTACAGTGAAATAAAGAAAAACTTGGACAATCTCTCTGTCATCTAAAAGACCACTTTGGGCAGGACCCATAGCAAATTCTTCCACTGACATGAGGGGAAACCGTATAGCATGGAAAGCTCTGCCAAGAACTGTTCTTTGGTTAGTTGGGGTCACTGGAAGCTGGCGTCTTATACATTCTGCTTCTGACCAACGAAGGACAGCTGAAAAGATTTTGGCTTCTCTAATTCTCAGAGTGTCTCTGAAAATAAATAATATATTTATAAATATGTTAAGAATTTAAATTATGATCAGACATAGACTTTATTAAAGGTAACAAGTATTTTACAATTCATAACTACAATAAAATAAATAATAGCAAATACTTTTAATTTTTACTATACTATGAATTTTAATAATCAATATTAAATTCTAGAACTTTATTTCTCAGTAATAATATTAAAATATATCCTTTCTAAGACTGCATTTAAAGTGTCTTGGTCTATGTCTGTAAAGCCTTCAGCATTCAAAGCATCTGCAGTATTTTTATCAATCATTTCCAAACAAAGTGCAGCTAATTGTGGTTCATCAAACAACCTAGCTTGTGTGAGCAACAAGAAAGCATTGTCTGTACCTAAATTGCTCTTCAGAAAATCTACACAGTGCTCCTCTAAAGCAGCAACAGCATATTTTTTTGCTGTATATAATGTTGTCATCACACTCTCTGGACCAATTCGTACTTCATCTGAGTACAGGAACTTTAACAGATGTAGGAAAGCCGCGGGTTCCACATCTGGGAGCTCCACCTCGTCGGACTTTGTAGCCAGTACACCATTAAACATGGCATCAAAAACTGCGCTTCCAACCGAAAGTACGAACTTGTGCGCTGGAATGACCTGCTGATTGGCGTCTTTACCAACGATAAAATGCACGTCAGAGAGGATTTCGTTATTAAATAAGAATGATAAACGTTCTTTTACAGTTGTTTTTGTTGCCTGCCAGTTGTGCAAGCGTCCACCCGTGTTATGTGTTGGTAGGTTTTCAATAGCAGAAGAGGAAGGCATAGGATCAATAGAATGGGCCATTTCTTCGTCGTGACCACTTTGACGAGCCTGCTGATTTGAGGGAAGCATATTTTGTGGTGGCTCTTCGTCACCGTCGCCGTCGGCATCGGCGATCTTCACATTCGACAGCCTATTTACAACATCATTCTTAGATCCAGAAGCCATTATATTACATGGGCTAAAACGCTTTTCAATCTTTGCTAGTACAGTTTCTACAATTAATTAAAAAATTTCGGGTAAGTAAATACTAAATAATACTATTGAAGCAGTAGGTACAGTTAGTTATTTTTTCAGGTGTTTGACATTGACATTTAAATTATGCTTGTCATTCCAACAAATGTCGTTGTCGAACTTGTGAAAGCACACATGAAAAAGTAAACAACGAATATACAAATATATATGAGGTCTTCGCAAAAAAAATTGTTAAAGGGGGGGGCAAAAGGGAAACCCCCGTTTAAATTTTGGTTTTTATATGAAAATTGACTTTATTATATTTCTTAAAATTCGAAAAATTACATCCTGTATCTTTTTCATAATATCCACTAGATTGGAAATGATGTTCCTTGTTAGACATGTATATGGTTGTTTATTTGGGTGTATTGAAGATATAAAGTTTTAGAAAAAAATTTATTCAAATCAGAACTTCTTATTTACTTGACCCCACTGTGAAAAAAAAACTCTACCGAAAAGTGACCCTGTATTACAATTTTGGCATTTAATAGGATTCTGAAGGTACACTGGCCATAGTCGCTCTTATTCTTTCTAGGACGAAAAAACAAGAAAGATTGTGAAATAATAATTGTATTAAAACACTAGGAAACAAAATATTTTACAATAAAATATGCTCAAAATTCCTGACTCTGACCATAATACTTAATCTGCACCGTCTAATCAAATTCCTACGTAACCCTCCAGCCATCTGTCCAATTTTTTTAATCTAGTCCGATTCACACAGTACTGGTCACAGGTAGGTAAATAATCTATCATAAGTCCGAATCATTCTTGTTTTTTCGTCCTAGAAAGATATTAGAGTGACTCATGGCCATTTATAATACCTTTTCAGAATCCATATTAAATGCGCCAAAACTTGTAATACAGGGTCACTTTTCGGTAGAGTAATTTTTTGTCACAGTGGGGTCCGAAATAAGCAAAAAGTTTTGATTTGAAAATTTATATGTATAACTTAATATTATCTTCAATACACTAATAAACAACTATAAATAGTATGTCTAACGAAGAACTCATCAGTACCAACTAGTGGATATTATGAAAAGATACAGGATGTAGATTTTTTCGATTTTAATAAGAATTAGTAAAAAGTCAATTTTCATATAAAAACAAAATAAATCTACTCTGCAGGGGTTACCTTAGAGACCTCCTGTAGAATAATTTTTTGCTGATGACCTATCTATCCCCTATTTGCTTTTGATCCACGACTTTTTGGCCACCCTGTATATTCTTTTAAATATAGCACCATATAAAAGTTGAATTTGTGATATCATGTCGTGGCAGCCATATTTTTTTTTATAGATTTAAACGTTTAAGGAATGGAATAATGTCTCTGCCACTGTAAAATATAATTTGTGCTAAGTTATGATGTGGACCGTGGATATGCTCGACATTGTTCTGTGAGTGACGATACCGCCAAACTTTTCCAGGTTAAAACTGAAATGGAGCCACTTATTTTACCTACGAACCCACGCCACACACCAAGCAGGTATAGATAAATTTGTAGTGTGAACACAACATGTTATATCTTATGTCCATATTTTTATAACAGGACTTTTCTGGCAGTTTTCACTACCAACTTATTTGCGTCTACACCGAACTATCCAAAATGGATCGGTGATGCGTGGAGCGTGGATTGTACTAGGCCGATCCAACAGCAATCTTTTGCGATCCTGACTGGCTGATCCAACACGCTCCAGCGGATCCATACTGAATCAGTGGAACTTTGTCTGCAGATCAATTTGACTTTTGTTCATCACAAATAGTAGGCAAACTAGTCGGTAGTTTGCCTACTATTTGTGTAATATCATTAGGATCCCATAAACATTTATTGTCCCTATAAAGGGATATTAAAAGAATACTCCATAACGTGAATTATCCATAACGTTGGATCACGCGATTCGAATCATAACCGTCCACACCGCGCGCGATCGGATCGCGATGGATCGTTCGGTGTGGACGCGGCTAATGGATATCTACTGATGAACTAAACTTCTTAGACATGATGACAGAATGCTTGTCGGCTCAGATTAATTCTGAGCTTGTAGGCCTCTTGTAGATATTTTATCTTTAGTCACGTTTTGTAATTCTTGTTGATGTTGTGTAGCCTCCATTCCTCCGACTTTGACAAGCCTTAGCGTCTATGTAAGACTGTAAGGACCTTAACTTGGTCGGTCCAGGGAGCAGGTGATCGGTTTCGGGGTCTCCTGCCTTCCACTCTTCACACCACAAGCTTCTTAAGTTATCGTAACGTCGACTGAAATATCGAACATTTAAAACAGAACTTGCTTGGGTGTAATTCCTACCGCAGGACGTCGTCGTTAATTTATTAAAAGCTAAATGCTTTAATGAATATAATAATAATAAAGCCACTTTAATTATTCTAAACTATTATAAAAATTACAAATCAGATGCGTGTTAGTTTTGTTATTATACACTTAGTCTACGTTAGTTATTGTTCTTTCCATTACTTCCACCCGTATCACCTCGACGTCCGCCGTTCCACAACTGAGCGTTTTTCAAGGCAGTTTTTGCCGCGCACCACCACTTTGTGGAACCAGCTGCCTACTGAAGTATTTCCAAACCAATTCGACTTAGGGTCCTTCAAGAAAAGAGCGTACCAATTCCTAAAAGGCTGGCGCTGCGCACGCACTCGCGAGCCCTCTGGCATTGAGAGTGTCCATGGGCGGCGGTATCACTTAACATCAGGTGAGCCTCCTGCCCGTTTGCCCCCCTGTTCTATATAAAAAAAAACTTCGTGTTCTGCAGCATGGACCCCTTTTGGGTAAACGCCTCCTGCTGAACTTTAGATTTGTTCTTTGCTTCCTACATGCATTTCTCTCCAGAAAACTTTGTGATGTCGTCAGCTCGTCGCTTTTGTGGTCTAACACTTCTTTTTCCTGGAGGTCCCCTCCAGTGGGTGGTTTCGGCGGTCCATCATTTATCTGTATACCTTGCAATATGGCCTGCGAATTTCAGATGTAAGGCGTGGGTATGCGCGTCTGTGAATGAATATGCAAACGCTTTAGGTTTTAGTAAAAATATGTCAGTGATAGATTAGGCAGTGGTAAAAGTTACGGTGCACTAAAACTTCTTTAGTGCACCTGAAATGTATGAAATAAAAGGCATTAAGGAAAATTCGTTACGCTACTTTACCTTTATGCTTCGTAAAATACATTTTAACGGACTAGAATTTTCTGGTAAACTTATCGAAACAATTTTGATTCCTCCGCCCTTTAACATACAGCCCATATTTCTGTGTAGAGAATGCAACATATTGTTACACTGTTCATGATACTCCTATGTGTGTATTATTGTGTGTTCAGTAAAGGGCACCTTATAGTAGAAAAGATGTTTGTACACTATACTTACTATCTTAATTCAAAATAAGGTTATCTTACTATTTCGAACTTAAGTTTTTTTTATGCTTAACGCATTATAAAGTAAATTAATTTCGTTCTATTTGCATCCTTCATATATTTACATACGTCATATTATTAATCTAATATATAAAATTCTCGTGTCGCGGTGTTTGTAGTGAAACTCCTCCGAAACGGCTTGACCGATTCTCATGAAATTTTGTGTGCTTATTGGGTATGTCTGAGAATCGGACAACATCTATTTTTCATCCCCCTAAATGTTAAGGGTAGTCCACCCCTAATTTTTTTTTAATTTTTAGATAATTTTTAATTTTTTTATGATACAGCATTAAAAATACATACAACCCCTAATTTACACCCCTCTACGATCAACCCCTGTTTTTTATTATAAATGATATACATGGCAAAACGACGTTTGCCAGGTCAGCTAGTTATAAATAAAAGCAACTATCTTATAACAGGCTTAAAAACCCCTTGCCTTTAGAACATTTTAAACGGGTTCCGAAGACAGTGCGTAGGTATGCACAAGGGGTTGGGCCCTTTCCCTTAAGAGATGCCAATGCTGGTTGATTACAAGTAGGTTTTTGACATCAGATTATTTAACATATTTCCGTCACCAGAAATCTTTGTAAATAGGTATATCAAGCTGAACTCGTTCGGAGGTAGGTATATGGTTGGTGGACTCAGATTCCGCGAGTGTGGATCTTTCGCGAATCCAGGTTCCCATTTGCGAGAAGGGCAAGGGAAGGAGCGGATACGGGCAAGCCGGCATCATTCCGGAGCCTCTCCATGCAAGCTCGTCGGTAGCATCATTGTCGAGAGATCCACTGTGTCCTTTTATCCACTGTAGGGTAGGTAACCCTTTTCTTCATGGTTATTGCCTGCAGTGCATTGTGACTTGTGGGTAGACATTATTCTTGTTGTATTCTCGTTACAGACTGTTGCTAATGTAATGTATTCCTAATAAACTAAATTCAACAATAAAGGCATTCAGTGGATTCAATTTTAACAATAAATACCTACGTGTACATTTATCATCAACAACTAATAATAAGATATTTGTGTTTCTTATCTGTAGCTAATAAAAGAGTTTAAAAAATGAGAAATGGTACTGCTTTTAGCTTACTAAAAAAGAGGTTTTATAAGTGTATACACGCCTTTATAGCGCGTGTCGGCTGAAGCCTAAAGATACGGCTGGGCCGCTTATTGCTACTGAAACTGCGTCCCGTCCCGCTTGCCCACAGACCTATTAACATTTAGAAGATTTAATTGAAAAAAAAACAGTTTTCATGCCATTCTCCTGATATATAAGTATATATTTAATGATAGTTGCATTAAATAATTTAATAAATGATAGAACTTTATCATCGTGTTTTATGTACACGTGATTCAATAAATTCCATTTCATTAGATGGCATAAATAAAGAAAGTAAACGTTTATTTTTTAGGGTCGAAATATTTAATAATATAAAATGCAAATAAATTAGATGAAAATACGTATATACCCCATGTAAATACCCCAAACAACTAAGGTTTTAAATAATTAATTCACAATGCTGATACAATCAATGGTATCCGATTTAATAAAATATAAAAGAACCTAACGCGGTTTACATAAGTCTTCAACATATTTTGTACGTCATCAGACACGCAAGCGCGGCACGGTCGATTCAGCTAACAGGTGCTCTCCCAGCAGTCCCTCTGTCGTCCTCGACAGGGAAACATCTCTCAATCCTCAAATAAAAAATAAAAAACTCAAGCCAAAACTGCCAGTAATAAATCGCAACTAAAACCTCCTTTCGAAACTCACTATTTAACGCCTGCACAGATTAGAAAGCAACATAAATAAAAGAGTTTGTGTTATATGTTCAACAGGCGTCTAGAGTAAATATATTTTAATGTTGATCCCTTTTCTATACTATTGTTGATGTTTCTAATGTCTAATAACTTGTTCTCAGTGCTTAAATAAGTGTCTTTTATTGTTAAACTTAAAATCGATATTATAGATGAAAGAGTAGAATGAAGTATTTAGTGAACATTCAAGTTACATGGTACTAAAAAAGTAAGTTTTATAATTATTTTTAAGCAGGTATTACACCAACTTTATTTCGTGAATTTACTTAAATACTTAATAATCAGAAAAGTTTGACTTAAAAACAATTATGGCATTTTAGTGTAATCTGTAATAATACCGATTGAGAATATCTTATTAAAAAACTTCATTCTTTAAAATACAATATTAATAGAACTCTAGTGATAGCTACTAACTTTGCAAATTGAAATTACAAAGTTTTCATACATAATTTTAATAATAATTTACTTCACAAAAATAATAAAAACTTGTTGAAACTTCTACTTTAATCCTCGATATAAAAATTGCTATAGCAATACCAGTCTTGTCGCGTTAATTGTAACAGCGCCCCTGACTAAGGCGTATTGCGCGTACTCCTAATTCTGTATACATGTATATACTGATGTATATAGAGGTTTTTTAGGGGTCTATGTTTCAATCTTTATATATATAATTCTTCTGTGAGTGTGTATGTCACTGAACTTCTCTCAAACGACTGGACTGATTTTGATGAAATTTTTTGTGTGTGTTCAAGGGGATCTGGGAATGGTTTAGATTCACAAATCAGCCCGGCAGATGGCACTGCAGTCGGTACTTTCATACTTTGCTTAATATCCTAATCGCTTTAAATATCATGCAGGACAACGTCTGTGGGGTCCACTAGTTTTGTATAATTTAGAATCGGTAACCCTTTGGCAACACAACATGTGTGGACATGACCTTCTCGGCATCCTCCTTAAACATACAACCGTGCCAATACACATTATGTATATCCTAATAATTAGATCATTTTGATTTATACATCCTAGGTAATCATTATGCTTAGTCCGAAGATACAACGCTCTATACGCGTCAACGATGGCCAACTCATCGCCTTATCAGAACGTGCTCAGTATGACCATTCACAGGTAAGTAAATACGTATTTTATTGTAATCTTTATTCAAATTAAAATATGTTTATGATATAACATTAGTAACCGAGCAAAAATTGCTCTATAAAATAATAAATTGTGCGTGTACTAGGTGTACACACGTAAGAAGTGAAACTTCTTTATGATCTTATTTTTCGAAAAATGATCTACTATATGCAACTTTACAGAAATTCGTTAAATTAGATAAAGTTTAACAAAAGGCTTTTATTATCATAGACATGAATACAAATATTTAATTTTACCTTATTTCTACGAAGATTATTATAGAATTTCATTAATTGTAATAGAATTATTACTATCATTGAAAAACGTGACGATTTGCTACAAAATTTCTCCCATACGTCGATAAAGAAGTTTCATTCCAACGCCGATAAAGAAGTTTGACTTCAAAAAGCAACATGGCGCGTACCCGAAAAAATGTTACACTAAATTTTTTTCCAACCTCGATAAAGAAGTTTCACTTCAAAAAAACATTCACACCAATAAAACGTTTGGAAACTGTAAAATGTTTTGAGATTCAAAATATTTTACAGTTCCCCAATGTTCTTTACAATTATCAAATAAAAATTATCAATACGGTATTCTTAAAAATATGAAACTGTTACAATTAATAAACTGCGGTATTTAGGAACATAAATATATTATTTCTAAAGCTCGCTTTTTAACGTTTTACTTTTTATAAACAAACTGATTTTATTACTTCATTCGGAATTTATTATTTGTTGTCAGTTTAACCGCTTCTTTAGTTCAGTATAAGAAAACGTTTTAATCATGAACGCGGTTGAGTACTATAGGGCAAAATTGTGTTCCGATTTTGAACAGATAAAGAGATTATATTCACGACTTAGATATTTGGTCTTTAGGTATTAAAAAAGTCCCTCGGTATATTTAAAATAATAAATCTTCTTACAGGCGGGTTACTTGCACAAACGTAGCTCGGACAACACGAAATGGCAACTGCGATGGTTCATTCTTTATCAGGTAACTGGAATTTAATTATTCAGTACTACGATTCAATTGTATGGGGCATCTATTGCATTTTTAATAAAGTATTCGGCAAAATTCTCCGTTGTGACTTAGAAGACTGTTGCTACATTGTGCTACAATTTGGTAATAAGTTCTACGAACTGCTACGATGTTGCTACATAGAGGTAGCAAGTTCACGTCACTTCTACCATATGACAAATATTTTACCTTAGGTACCTTATAATATTTAAAAAGTTTTTTTCTTTGTTTACCATGTTAATGGGTTAATTTAGTTTTCAAATTGTAGTAGCCTCACTCAAGAAACGTATAAGCGTTTATTATTACGTTGTAATATTATTTCTAGTTTAATACAGCTCAGTCAATAAAGACGTTGGCTCTTGAGTAGAGATTGTCTAGATTGATTTAGTTTTTAAGTGAATATATATTTAAAAAGAAAAAACAAAACTTTTAAAAACGGTTAAGATTGCCTTACGTTTTGCGTACTTTACAAAATCTATCCCATATTACAGTCCATATTTTAAATTGTAAATGTATATTTATTTTGAACGTGAGTACCCACACTTACATAATCCGCTGGGTCTGCGACCTAAAAAGTATCTTGGCCTGCAAAATGAGAATCATCCAGCACTCTCTGTTCTATGCCACCTCCCGCTAATTGCAGACTTTCAGGCGCAGCAGATCCTCCACTCTATCGATCCAACGGTACCTAAGGTTACAGTACTAAAGGTGAAAATTTGTCCACAGAACCTGCTATTCTACTACGAATCCGAAAATAATACACGGCCAACAGGTGTGCTGCTTCTAGAGGGTTCATATTGCGAAAGACTCAGCAAATCACCAATAGAAAGAAATGCTTCAGTGAGTACCGTTTAAATGATTCGTCCGTTTAAATTTTCGTGAAATTTTTGCTAGGTATAGGTACGCAACATTCTTGGTATTGTAATGCTTATAATCCTGAAGTATATGGTTTAGTTCCTACTAAAACGACATGTTTTGTTTTTATTCTAAGGAAAGTAAACCACTAAACTACTTCGAGCCTCTTAGCACTTTGATTTGCTGTTGTTTAATAGCGATAGATATTCAACTAATGTGGAATATCTATTCTACTGTACTTCATACTTTTCTTGGCCGGTAAAAGCGTCACTGTCATGGATTGCCAGTAAATAAAAATTTACCATTATAAGGGGTATAATTTGAAGTCATGCAAGCTAACTTAACAATGTATACTAGTTTCTAGAAAATATAATTCTAGGCTTAAATAAATGACACACAAACTTAGGAACAACTGATATTTAAAGTAAACACTTTTTTACCGGATTGAAGTTATGTATTATTATAAAATTATAATTATTTTACAAAACTAAAAAAAAAATTCCGACGTTTCACGTGCTTTACAGCGTGCGTGGTCACGGTGACAAATATTTGTAAAATAATTATAATTTAATAATAATAATAACTTCTAATATATAATAACTTTGTTAGATTATAATTACTAATAGAAAATGAAGCACACTTCCTTCTTCCATTCTACATTTCAATCATTCTACATGCAATAATTAAATACTTGTTATATTGTTTATTTAGTTTTGTTTCATCATATCTTATCGCCGTGAGAGTCAACGTCAGTACGAACTGAGAGCCGCTTCCGAGGTAGACTGTGTTCATTGGGTCGACGCGATCAGAGAGGCGAGGTTAGTTTCGTGCTTACAATATTATAACATGATATATTTTGTGTGTGTATTATATTTTAAATCCTACTCTGTTCTGTCTTACTCTTTGACGTAAAAACTACTGAATTGATTTTATTGAAACTTTACAATAATATAGCTTCTACATCAGAATAACACATAGGCAACAATTTATAAAGATATTGTGTGTGTCCAAAATATCAAGTAAGTAGGAAAAAATCTACCATCTCTGAGCTATTCTGGCGTGCGCTGCCGAAACCGCTAGAGTTACACATATGTAATGTATGATGGAAATGTTTATCTTAAATAGTCCTACAAAAAGCCCATAGTATATATATATATATATATCTTATGTGTAAGCCATTATAGCCAAAATAGTGAACCATAACTACAATTATAATTGATAATTTATTTCAAATGCGCATTTGGTACTAATAAATTGATCCCAAAATGAAAATAGATACTTTTATTGCTTCTGGTATAAAAATAAAACGCGGGCACCAGCTAGTAATTACTATTTCCAACTAGCGACCGCTCTAGCTTCCCACAGTTCCAGGCGTTTTAAATTGACGTATACAAATTACAATTATCATTATGTCAACCAATTTACGCAACACCTTTACAGATTATGTACCTAACCTCCTCATGAATTACTATATATTAGTACCACATATATTCCTACAGTAGTTTTTAAGTTGATTGTGAACGTACAGTCAATGTACTGAATAGGATTTTTTTAATATACGGCTAATCATTTTGTAGTGACGAACAATGAAGCAATACATACTTGTGTAAATTTGTATCTTGGTAATTAATACCGGAAGATCATTTCTGGATGGATATTAAATAATATATGTGTGAACATTTAATATATACGCTGTCAGGTGCTCAGACTTGTCTATGTTAAAAAATGGATATGATTTATTATCACGTTGTTGGGCGTTAACCGCCATAGTCACGAAATTATTTTAATGTTATACGTCATGCAAAGCTAACTGATTATTTGTAATATCTAATATATAAAATTCTCGTGTCGCAGTGTTTGTGGTTAAACTCCTCCGAAACGGCTTGACCGATTCTCATGAAATTTTGTGAGCATATTGGGTATAACTGAGAATCGGACAACATCTATTTTTCATCCCCCTAAATGTTAAGGGTAGTCCCCCCCTAAATATTTTATCTTTATTTTTTTATTATAAAGCATTAAAAAATACATACAACCCCTAATTTTCACCCCTCTACGATCAACCCCTATTTTTTATTATAAATGATATACATGGCAAAACGACGTTTGCCAGGTCAGCTATTAATATAATAAATGTATTATATTACTTGTATTTCTATGGAAATAATGTTATGAACATCCCTGGCTATGGGAAGTAGTCCATTGCTATGGCAACCCAAGGGATTAGGGTCGCGGCCTTGGCCTGGGGCAATATGGATCTCCGAGAATGGCCAGGAAGGCTCAGTCTATTTTAAACTTCAGGTTATTAATTATTTATAAAGTAATTGGCAAATTATTAATTAGTTAAACCAACGTAGAAATTAGGTCAAGAATTAATTATTCATTAGTTATAACTAATTTGAAATTCTATGGGTTTGTGTAATTTATTCTAATCAAATTCCAGTTATATTTCTTTTGTAACCAACTTCATACGATATATGTGTCCTTTTAATTATTAACGGCCCAAAGTCCTGTCCTCTAAAGCCAACAATTTTACCTAGCGAAAACGTATATAGTACATCCTTGGTGAGTTTGCGTTATTTATTATCATTATGCCAGACTTTACCAGCCAGAATTTACGTTGCTTTTTAACATTACATAGATTCTTCTACTAATCCAAAGAGTTTAAGTATATCCTAAGAGATTACTACTTATAAACCATTGTTAAATAATAATAATAATGTTTTTGGCCAAGAATGAAGCCTTCTATGCCTTACAAACCTCAAAGTCTGTGTTTTTTCTCACGATTTATTTATCGTAGGAGTAACAATATCATACAAAAAAAAACTATCTCCATATAAATAACTTAACCCATTATATTCTTAACATATAATGTTATTTCATAAAACAATATTATGCTAAACTTTTTCTAAACACGTGACGACCTAACACTCCTATTTACATAAAATGAATCCAACTACCTGTCAACAATATTATTTATTGCTACTAATATAGGTCAAGGCCCAGTGCAGGCAAAGGATCGTGTTGCCATAGCAAATGAGTCTCGGCTTACATCCCACGCTAAACTCTGCACTTCCCCGATGTCGCGTGGGCATTGAAAAGTTTATCGGGATTTGGTCTTAAGGATACATCGTATTGAACATAAATGAAATAATTAAATAAAAATGTGTTTATAAATTTTAAGTACATATAGATTACAATGTGTAAGATTTGAGAACCCTTTTAAGTAAAAAATACTTGTGTCAGAGTTCCCAGCTCTTCCATAACAAACAATTATAAATTCCTTCTATTTTATTTATTTTTGTTTTTGATTTTTCAACTGTTATCAACACGCCTGAGTGCATAAGTGAGTAATATGGGTCTTAATATTAAGTATAGTTGTTTAACCGTTAAAAGTTTTGTTTCATTGTACAATTTTGAAGTTGATAAATAAACAAAATAATATCATCAATAAAAACAAGGACAATGTAAAATGTTATATTGTGTTTTCCAGCTTCAATAAGCTTTTACTCCAAAAGGAAGAGCTGGAGCAGAAGCAATTGCATCTTCTTCAGGTCGTGGAGAGCGAGCGTACATCTCGATGGCAATACGCCCAGCAATGTGAGGAACTGTCAAATGAAGTGAAAAAACTGCGCTCTGAGGTAACTATTTAATAATTCATTTATACATACTATACTATACATAGATAAGAAACAGGTCATATGAGATTGGGACCGGATCGTAAATGGATTTATTTGATGATGTTGGCTAATTACGATCACGCTTAATACGATTTCTCTGATCATACGCCAGTCCCTGCAACTTGAAACATATTTTCATGCATTTCTTAATGCTTAATACGAATCGTAATTCCTAATGCATCAATATCTTTCTGTCAAACCAGAATAGGTGATTACTTTGAATAACGTTATTATCATTACACTGCACTTAAAGAAGTTTATATTAAATAACCTATATATACGAAATTAGAACATAATATATAATAATATGTAGTACGTTATACTTTCCCTATCATCCCTCGCTTAGACGCGTCTTTCTTTCGGACCTTATGAAATAGTCATAAGGTGGGAACTGACCAAAGTTACGAGGTGTAATGTAGCATTCGCATCGAGCGTGTTACGCATCGAACATGTTACGCTGTGTTTTAAAATCGGCGTAACATGCTCGTCAAAACTCTGTGCTCCGCTTTCGCCGCCAGTGTTCACGAGATGGCCGACAGCGAGGACGCGTTGGTATCTTTGATTCTACTTAATTATTGTTTCATCCAAATTAAGAAGAAGAAAAAACGTTACTGGACATCAAACTTATTTAAAAACAGCGGCGTATGTGGTGGTTTGTCATTGATAGCAATTTTAAAAAACCAAATGATTACTGGACAGTATAAAAACTTTGTGCGCATGTCTCCTATCGATTTTGAACAACTCGTGAATTTAATTAGACCAAAAGTACTTAAAAAAGTCACAATTTATAGAAAATCATAATCATGATCACTCGCGATGTGCGACGCGTACCGACTGAACCACGTAACAGTCAAAGGATTCGCCGAAAAACCGACAGCCGGGTGGAGCACTCTAAGCAACGAGCGGCTCATTACTCGCTGGTTTCCCCGTAACACGACGTACGGACTGCACGAATGCTCGCTGTGTAACGTGTTACATTACACCTCGTAACGTTGGTCAGTTCCCACCTTTAAACGGGTTTTACTGTAATTGGATTTTATGTTAAGATTCATAACATAAAATCTAGAGTCGACCCTACTAATAATTTTCTTGTTTGAATTATTAGGCTACTAGAAACTAGTTAATGTAATAATTGAATTTCAAACTTAAATAAAGATTACGTCCTTTTTGATTAATCATACCAGATTTGCTAATAAGATACATACTTACATCATAGTATTGTGACACATTTTTTAAATGTCATAAATAAATATAATAATATATAAGCATAATAAATAAAGATAATAACAAAGACCGGTGAATATATTTCTACGTTATTATAACTTGGATTTTTTCTCTGTAGCCATAGTTCTTCACTCCTTTTACCAGTTGCCTATACTTAATATATCTTCTAGTTATATGCTTACAAGAAAGAACATGAGCCATCTACACGGGCGACGTCCACCAGCAGCCTGTCTCCGACTCTTTCTGATGAAATTGATCCGTCAGAGTTGCGCAAAATTAAAAAAGTCCAGGTAACAATATTATTTTTCTTTGTTTACTGAGGTTTTAAAATTTTAGTATCAATTATAATTTTCTTCGAAGAAAATTATTTTTTATTGTTCTGGAGAATTTGAACCTAGGCCAATTAATAAACGAGTGAATAAAACCTGATTAAAAAAAAGTTTTACGGAGTTTGTTTTGCCACTTTGTTTCCAGAATTTATTAATTCTTCTTTATATCGTAAATCGTAATCAACTTAAATTAGCACACTTAAGAAATTTTACTGTCGTACTCAGATTCGATAGTTATGAACTCACGATTACTTCAGCTAATTATTAAAGAATGGTGTAAGTATAAATCTGAGATAACGTATAGTACGTATAGTAGGTACGTACCTACAGCCGTTACTGTTCCTTGTTAACTCGTAGTACCTTAGTACCGTAGTAGATTCTTTATCAACTAATGGTTCTAAATGGTAAACAATATCTAGCTATTTATGCAGAGTTTCTTCCGAGGCTGGCTTTGCCGACGCCGGTGGAAACAAATTGTGGAACAATACATCAAGAGTCCACATGCCGAGAGCATGAGAAAGAGAAACAGGTACAGCATATAGATATATTATGGAGTTATACCATAATTTAATATTGACTTATAAAACTATCAATTTCAGCCTCGTTTTTAAAATGGTCGAAGCCGAAGAAGAGTATTTGGAACAAATGGAAATATTGGTATGTTTATTTATTTTCTACTTATTCGCGAGTTTGTATCTTATTGGTTTTTGAATGAAATAACAAAACTTTATACGGACTACCTTAAGTAGTTTTTAGTTAATAAAATTTTTAGTTAAATAACGCATTTGTGACAATTCAACATATGTTAAGTAATAATACTACAGAATCCCGTGCCAAGGATTTTTCATAAATAAAAAAATAATAAAAAATCGTTCGGACGGTGAAGGAAAAATCGCATGCCTTACGCCCAAAAAGTCGTCGGCGTGTGTCAGGCACAGTAGGCTACTTGTCTATATATATAAAAGAAAAATGGTCTTCGTTTGAGGCTCCTTCACGCCTAAACCACTGATCGTTATTTATTAAATTCCAACGTTCCTTCATTTTTTTATTGCTGTTTTACTTTTATGAAAATTTATCCATACGGACTTCACCGCGGAAACATTCGGGGAGGCTTCCTAGAACCTCTAAACGTCAACATCTGTTAAAAACTCGATTTTCGAAATATTTCAATTTTCTTAGCGGGAAGTTAAAAAGAAGAATAATAAAAATATGAAAAAAAATAAAATAATGAAACATAAAATTTATTTTAATTCGTCCAGCAAAGCGGGCGCGAAACGGCTAGTCTAATATAAAAGCAAGTGATTGTGAAACATTCAGAATGTTTTTTAAATCATATATAAAACTAAAGTTTGAATACTTGACTGCAGCCCTGCGATTCTGTAACTCACTTTTCGAACTCACAAGCGGTTTTCGCATCGGCGGTCGCTCTCAAAAGTCAGTGAAGCAGTCATTTTATGATTTGGCATTCTGATAAACAATAAACTACAGGCTCCCACCTTTTCAGAATGCCAAATCATAAAATGACGTGACTGATTTGAGAGCGACCGCCGATGCGTAAACCGAGTTCGAAAAGTGAGTTACAGAATCGCAGGGCAGATGCTTGCTTGGAAATGATTTTCGCTTGTAAACTTGTACACTTATAAACTTTCGCTCTCGTCGTTGTAAAACTAAACACACATTTCGTTACCATTGAATTACTTTTGAACTTTTTGTAAAAACTCGGTTTACAATTAAGGTGACGTGTTTCCTTCGCCCATTCAAAATGGCCGCCAGTTCTAAGAAGCCCCCGTGCACTCATGAAGACGTCAATTCCATATTTCTGAACAGTGAGACCGTGTTATTTCTACACCAGATCTTCTTCAAAGGTCTCACTTCGAGAATGGAGTCGTGGCCCACACTTGTCTTAGGTAAGTATCAGTAACTAAAAAAAAGTAAATATAAAATTAAAATATTACCTTTTGAGTAAAAGAACATTTTGGGTAAATAAGAAATACATTACGTCATTAAAATCCTATAAGTTGTTGAGATTGTTGAGAAGATAATATTTCCTCCACGTTTTGGGAATGAAAATGCAAAAAGAAAGTCGAAACGATGACGTGTATTTGATTGTGATCCTTTCACTTTACATTTTCACCTTACCGTTAAAAAAAACCGAAAAAATTACTCATCAAATTTATCATTTTTTTCTAACAGACTGCAAGAGCATGGAAATCTATTGCGCCAGTTTTTACTAAATTGAAAACCGGTTTTGTTATTTTAAGGTCAAATAGTTTTGAAGCCCTACAAACTGGATCTGTGATATATTTGTTTTAGGAAATAATATTTTTACAGGAGACCTATTCGACATGCTACTCCCGATGCTGACAATATACCAGGAGTACGTACGGAATCATCACTACTCTCTCCAAGTACTAACTGAGTGCAAGCAATCACAGCCTTTCACCCACCTACTCGCTCGGTTGGAAAGCAAGACGGCATGCCAAGGACGATCTTTGGAAACCTTCTTAACGTTTCCCATGCATCAGGTATTTTCATTATTTATGTCTCAGTGCTTACTGGGACACGGGGAACAAAATATACCGGTTTATATTTTTAACTGGGTAGTGCTTATCAAATCGGTTTGTTCGAATATGTTTCCCGAATTAACCTCAGGAGATTTAAGTTACGTATGCAGAAGGCCTGATTAGAATGCTTCTGATGAATGTATGGAAAATCTGATCTTCGTTTTTGTAAAACAGCCATTTATTTCCGAATAACAAGTTTATCATATCTCGCAATTCGGTCTGCCTTTGGAATAGGCGTCCCCAGCTCTCTCCAATGAGTTTTGTCATTGGCAATTCTGGTCCAGTATGGCCCCAAGGTCAGGGTGATGTCATCTTTTCATCGTGTTTTTGGGCGCCCCTGTCTTCTGGTACCTATTTGCTCCAATTGATCAAGTTTGCATCTCAACATGTGACCCATTCATTTCCATTTTAAGTGGTTTATATGAGCTAGTATATCCGTTGAGTTTTCAGAAGAGATAATTTGTTTATTTCTGTAAAATACATATTAACCTCTATGGCTCAATAGATTGATAAAACGCAGATAATTGATCACAAGTCTGATTTAGGTCGTAATATTTATTGTTTTTAGATCCCACGCTATATAATAACTCTGCATGAGCTGCTGGCCCATACCCCACACGACCATGTTGAGAGACGTAGTCTTCAACATGCGCGGGCGCAGTTAGAAGAACTATCGCGGCAAATGCACGATGAAGTACGTATTAGACTTTGTAATTATAATCTTTAAATTAAATTTTGGTAAAAAAAATGCACTTTATTATTAAATACAAAATATTGTATAAATACAAATCTCGCGTTTGAATTTTCTTGGCACATTAAGAGTGAGAATACACGAGTGTAATTATATAATTATCACAATAGTATTGAGAATCCAGTTTTAAATTGTTAATTTAATACACAATATTTAAAAAATAATCTTAAAATTATTTTAATAGGTGAGTGAAACGGAAAATCTGCGGAAGAACTTAGCAGTTGAACGAATGATTATTGAAGGATGCGATATATTGTTGGATGTGAACCAAGTGTTTATACGGCAAGGTATGTACAATATTGGTGTTCGCCGAATATGTATTTCCCCGAATAAAAAACAGGCCCAAAAGTTAAGATTATTATTGAATAATATAGAAAGATTATTTTGGACCGGTGGTTAAATGTACAAACAGAAATCGCCTAATGCCTCAAATTAAGTTATATACTGCTCAAAACAATTAGCGGAACAAGATTTTTCTCCTTTCTATTGCTTAAACTACAATTAGATTTAAATTAACTTGTACGCTATTTTTTACCTTGTTAATTTGTTAATTACTACAATTAATAAAAAAATTCAATTTCAGTTCAGTATTCAGTTTTTCGTCTTCAATGCACATTTTAATTTTTTTTTAATAAAAAAAATACAAATTGATTTTTTTTATTAATTGTAGTACATACTCGTAATTAACAAATTAACAAGGTAAAAAATAGCGTACAAGTTAATTTAAATCTAATTTTAGTTTAAGCAATAGAAAGGAGAAAAATCTTGCTCCGCTAATTGTTTTGAGCAGTATATAAATAATTATAGTTAGTTAAAAAAAATAAAGTGTGTGTTATTGCCTTGTTGAATTATTTGTATTCGCCGAATAGTAGGTTTGATATTGTTATTCGTTAAAGTAGTATTTGTTGCATCACTACAAAACAGGGATTTTTTTATTTGATTTACGCGCCATCGCCAAAGCTATAAACATAGGGAATTTAATTGATTAATATTACCTTCCCGAATCATATTTCATCAGTTTCATTAGTATATAATTATTTCGAAACCTCTACTAAACCGGTACGCAGTGTTTGTATTTCTGAATTTCGTTACTGAAGTTTTGTGTATATATCTTGCAGAACATAAAGACATAATTATAGCGCTTTTTATATGAAAGTACGTCGTGTACTTTTTGCTCCAACACCCATTTGCTCTAATTCCTGAAGCTAGATGACAGTATTTGAAAGAAGTCTCCCGGTTGATCTCTATTTCTATGTGTGCAAATTCCAAAATCATTTTTCATATAGGTAACAATATGTACACTTATGAACGTCAAAAAATAAATATATGAGAAATGCTTCTAATTTTACATTTACTGCCAGTTCTCAAACCAGGGGCGTAGAACGGAAGAGAAGAACTGGCAATAAACTCTCCGCCACTCTTTTTAATCGCCAAGTTCTTACACAATGTTTGTAAGGAGCTGCAACCATTACACCATGTTTCACATGACATCTTAAAAAAAAAAAAAGATTTGTCCTCTATCGGCAGGAGGCATGGTGAAATAGCATGGTGCACACTTGCTCGTAATGTAAAATAGAACCGCCTAAGTCGAAAAGTCTGATCTTTATTGAAAACAAATGCTCACGAAACAAATACTACACAAAAATCTGTCACCACTGGATTTTTTTAATTACTGAACCGATTGCATCGCCTTTTTAACGATTTTTATTGACGTTTAGTGTTATTCAGCCTTAAAATAATGTGTCAGCGTATTTATAGTCTTCCGTCGTCTCCTCTTTTCTAACCTTGAAATACTTTAATTTTTATTCAGGAACTCTGTCCCAAGTGGTGGGTAAGGGCCGTCGGGCAACATTGCAGTCAAGACAAGCCTTTCTCTTTAGCAACCACCTTCTGCTTACTACAAGGGCTGCTGGTGGGCGTCTTCATCTTCCACCATCAGGGAGGCTACCACTGCATGATGCACTACTCATCGAGGATCCATCCAGCCACGATGATGATGGTCGTATACAATATCTATGTTCTTTCCTAGAAGCTATTTGCTCAGGGCAAATTAACCAACGTGTAAATTTGAATCTTATTTTTTTATACAGGGATCAACTTTAGTAAATATTATATATCCTGGGTTTATTTCACAAGTACATACTTAAATATTTTTTTAATTCTTAATGTAAAAAGGATATTTAATAAGAGTAATCTTCTTACAGACTATCTTGATTAGAGATTTATAGCTATCTTGTGGAAAATTTTGCGTATTTTAGCTAAGACAAATGAATACTTTAACGTATTAGTACGCGGCTACGGCAAGATAAGCAAACTCGCTCAACGAGTGTGTAATTGTGTGTTTGATTTTTTTACATGAAAAGCTACTATGGAGATAGTTATTTTTTTTTTTAAATTAAGACAGGTGCTATATTGTTTAATCGTCATAATTTTTGTTTCTTGGTAGATTTTATTAGTCTGTGTTAAAAATATTTATCTAAATAGTGCTTATATTATAACTTTAATATCAAAATATGTAAATTCATAACTATTAAGTGTAAGAAATTTGTTAGTTGTTGATAGCCGTTGTGACCGAATTGGAAAAACTTTAGTTGAATTTGTCTTGTTTACGTTTATTAATAGTAATTCCTATTTCAGATACCGCGTCGGTCTGCTCTTCACCCGGTGGTGACTGCTATCAAAGCAAAGACTTCAAAATACTCGTTGAAGTTAAAGGAGAACACATATGTGCTCAGTTAGGTAAATTAAAAAAAAAACATAATGATTTATAGAATATTTTAATTAATAAATAGATATCGTATCGTTTAATACTTATCAAATTTGAGCAGGTTTAGACTATTTACAAGATTCTAAAGACACTACCTGCCTTATTTTCGTTAGGGTATTTGCTTAGAATAAAAAAAGAAATACAATAATTTTAGTGGCAGCGACCATAGAAGAGAAAGCCGCTTGGACGAGCGAGTTGGCCCAATGTATGGAAAGTGCGGCTTTAACTGAGTTACTAAGAGCCTCTGGGGCTTGTGGTACTGCATCGGCCAGTTTACCGGCTTGCAGGTAATTTTCACCGTATTTAATTAAAATATCTATAACAGAAACATATTATAACATGCATTTCCTTAAATATACGAACAGTGGCCTTCTCTTTCCAAAGAACTGTAGAGACACATAAAAAGAGGCATATGAGCAAGAGTTCCGAAGACTTTTAAAACATAAAAATATTATAGTAATGAGACATATATGTTAAGACTCAAAAAAGAAATTCTTTTATATAAATAAAATAAATTAAAATTAAATTGCAGGTCCGACCGGGCCCTTTTCACGGATGACGTCGATATCAGATTCAGCAGAACTCTGAACTCTTGCAAAGTACCACAAATACGATCTGCCACGCCCCAACGTTTACTACAGAGATTGACAGGTTAAATTTTAATTTACTTATGTTCCAAGTTCTTTTAATATAATAAATATGTTTCTTTGGTTGGTTCGATAAGAGGTTTTAATTACTTTTTTTAAAATTACTTTAATTACAATAAAGTAAACAATTGTGTAAAAATCGACTGACTTTGCTCCTGCTTGGATCATGATCCTTTCCTTTGCTCATCTAGTAAATAAGATAGGCAAAGGTTAGCAATTTAGTATCACCTACTAATGCCCGAAATTAATATTAAATTCTAATCCAATTTCTTACATCTAAGATTGGTATTTGAATCCGTTTTTTAATGTTTAACAATTTAACTATTAAAATATCAATCTAAGGCTGCTGCCTCGAATTTTGCGGGCAGCGGGGCGGCGGCGGCTGCGGCGCGGGAGCGGGCGATTGCACCTCTCGTTACCCGCCCTCACGCCGCTGCCACGCCGCTGTTTTCGAGAACCGGTCCATTTGAATTTACGCAAAAGATCCTGCCGCACCGCGCCGCCGCCGCTGCCGCCCGCAAAATTCGAGGCAGCAGCCTTAGGGATTGCGGATCACAGATTAACCTCTTTTCAATTATAACACTCGCTCGTACGGTGACGGGAAACATCATCGACTTTCATGACGTTCACCATACATATTCGTCGGTTATGGATGCTTTTAATTTGTATTGACCGTTACTGACCTAGTTTTTCTATTCCAGACCTTCGCTTTCTCTCCGTGGACTTCTTAAACACATTTCTCCTAACATACCGTGTGTTCACTGATGGAGTGACGGTATTGGAAGCCTTAAAGGCAGTGTTTTATGAACAGTCTCAGCAGGATATGGATCTTCCACCACCACCGGATGCTGCAAGGAAAGCTAGCGGGGCTAGCTCTGTCTCAGGTCAGCTAATAAATATCACTATGGTAAATTTAAAAGTAGAATAAATGCATAAATAATGAATAAACAAAACATTTTTTTAAACAAAATCTTAATATTTGTTTGAAAAATCTTAAACGAAGGACTTTTCATACAATATTATACGTAGACTAAACATTTTATACTTGTTACACAATACACATGGCTACAGAATTTGAATTTTCCCGAGTATTAATAGCATTTCGAGACAGAACCCATAGATTTTCTATACAATTATGCAATACATTTACTAGATGAACGTAATTTGAACGACAGAAGCACCAAGTTCCAACCAGTCAACGTATTTGGTAATAAAAACATTCATAAGTCTGTGCTATTTATGCATTTGTGGTTTTAAGCATATAACTAGTAAATACCGTTAATGTTTCGAAAATATTATATTCGTATATCTTTCTCGATACTAAGTAATTTAGTAATACAATTAAGATTAAGGCTACGTCCGCACAGGCAGGAGGTTTGCTTAGCGCCTAGCGCCTAGAGGCTTGCCGTCTGGCTACTTGCTAGGTGGCTACGGTGGCCGGACTAAGGTGTCTTGCGTAGTGGCTCGCTAGGTGCGTTGGTCATTTGTTTGTCGGCACGTTAGCGACATGTCACTTTCAAAAATAGCTCTGAAACTGCTACTTACAGAAAATTGTTCTTTAAAATATACAACTTCACGACCTTCTCCATCATGTTGGATCCATGACATAAATAAGTTACGGTCAAGTCAAGATTTTCAAATAGTGCATTACAAACAAGAGACATTTTGTTGAATTATTTCAACGGAATTCGATTTGTTACGTGGCAGAACAACTCATTGCCTGAAAACATAATCCAACGCCATACCTAATATCATTCGTTAACATTTACTTCAGATGAAAAAAAAATATTATCTGTCCATAAACAAATAAATCACTTTTTAGTATTACCGTCTTTTTCTACTTCGACTGCTACCTCTTCCCATAGCTTCTTTAAAACGACTGCATTTTTATGGAGTTGATTAGAGAGATTCCACAGAGGTTCCCTTTTAAAAACTGTTGAAATTAACATTTCATCCATCACGAAAATGCTTCGCGCCTAGCGACAAAAAACCAACACGTTTGTTTCCTTCGATACACGCTAAGCGACTAGCTAGGCGCCAAGCGCGCAATGCGGCCGGTCGCGAAGATTTTAGAACGTTCGTTTTACTAAGCTACTCGCTTGGTGACTCGCTAGGCGCTAGGCGCTAAGCAAACCTCCTGCCTATGCGGATATAGCCTTAGACATTGTTGATTCACAATGTATATGTCCTATTATGCATACATAAACTCCAACGTCCATACCACATTGAATACACCGGTTATCGTCCGATCACAGACGTTATGCAACGTCCGGCGCGGTCAGTACTTAGATGGGTGATCGCCTGGGAACTCCGCCTGATGTTGGCTTTCTTTTTTGGAATAGTATAACGTCAACTACGCAGTTAAGATAATATTGAAGTGGTACAGGTCCACCGTTTTATATTTTTAATTATTAATTGACTAAGTAAATTTAACGTTATACAACCTTTCAGGTTATGGTTCAGAATACGGTGACAGAGACTGGCAGTCAAGATTTTGGCGCATCCAGCGAGGAAAAAGTAAGATCTTTACTAAGTAGAAGCTGTCGCAAAACATTCAATTTTTTTTTTCAAAATTTGACAATTATGTAAAACATATTTATCTTTTTATACAATTTGTTTATTTATTACAGGCGAAGAAGAAGATAAATTGTCGCCCTACCTAATGGCACCATCGAGACGCGCGTCAGCAGTTGGAAAGGTATTTCATAGTTTTTGTACCTGATGATGCAAAACGCTTGGAACTCAGGAACTCTGGGAGAAATTAATTAAAATGACGTTGAAGTAGATCAATTCTATTTCTACCAGATTAATTGTTTGAATTTAGTGTAAAATTAAAAACAGTTTTGTAATTTTCGCATTTACAATCAGCGAGGCAAACATCGTAAAGCAAGTCGAAGGGTGTTCAATAAGGAGAAGTAGCGCTAAATATGAATTCTGTAGGTATGTCAGAAATTGGATGTTAACACGGAGAAGTCATAGGTAAAAAGGGTAAAATTCAGTTTGTAAGTCTCGACTCAGAATTTAGAAGTCAGAAAATGCTGATCTTACTTACTACTAAATCATCAACGAAGATGCAAAAACAGTCTCATTGCGGAGTGGTTTGATACTTAAATGTTTTCTTTGTAAATTAGCAGCCCGACGAAGAGAATAAAGAAAACACTCATCTAACGATTCCAAAAATAATGGCGACGTCCTCCAGTAACGAAACGTTAAAGGGAACTCTTTCAACTGGCACGGGGACAACAGGTCAGATATTAGTTAGAATAACTAGTTTTAAATTAATGTTTAACATTGATATATATTACTCATTACTATACTTGGTAGTAGATCCAGTTATATACCTGATTATTTGATCATTATTTGGTATATACACCAACATTCCTTGTCTGAAGCTCTATTTTACGGTAGTCATCAAAGGATTTATAGAAATATTAAAATATCTAAATTAAGCTAGAAAAACTTCATCACATACTTAATATTTAGGTACAAGACACGCAACTACTGGATTATGACCACATAGCATAGTAACATTCCAGAGGCATAGAATTCCTTCAGATTTTTTTTATTTTTTACACATTGATTGAATGTGAAGTGAAGAATTTAGAAGCCAAACACTAAGCTTTCTCTTTCTGTTGTTATGCAATAGATCGAGACAGCACTATTTTGTCTCATAACAATTTTTTAAAATATATTTTTGCACAAATGATAGGTACTTCTCCATCCTCTCCTGGGGCCATTAGCTCCGTAACTCTAGTAGGGAGTCGGAAAAGTAGCCCAGAACACGCTGTTGAAGTTGGAAAAAAAGAATCGCCAACCAAAGTTAAAGACAATGATAAAGCAGCTAAAATGATGAAGGATGAAAGTATCGAACTGGTGGACCAGAGCGATGAAGATATTAAGTACAAGGAAGAGGAACAAGAGAAACATAAGCCTAAAATTGAAGAGAAGTTTAAGATTTCTCAGAGATTTTCAGAGGTAAGTTTATATATTTCACTTTTTTTACAGAAATTAAGACTAAGAATAAAATTAGGCGAAATCAAACACAGAATAATATGCATAGTAAAAACAATAACGGAATATAATATATTCTTTATATGCGTATTTATATACTAACACAACGTATATAAACCATGTTATTTTGTTGCCACAATCGGATTCCCGTAAAAAAGCCCCAGAGCACCATTTATTCAATTGCTTACGTCTTTACCGCTTAGACCAATAAAGATTTGCACTAATATCTTTCAGGTTAGTATCTCCCACATCCAACGAGTACGTACGATGTCTGAAAGTCCCCGACGGCTCCAACCAAGCGCAGGGCAAAGCGCCGCGGAGCTCCGTCGTCGGTCCGAAGGTGCTCGGGAGACTGCGCCCCCAACGCACGAACCTCGCCGTGCGTCGGATACCGCAGCACGCATTTCTAGAAGGTCGGTCAGGTATGATGTAACCACAGATTATAATGTAGCATTTTGGCATTTACGAAATAAATTAAAACTTACAAGACCTGTAATTTCCATTTTAATTTACAAATATGTAAGTACGTATAAAAATTGACACAATTTATAGACTTTCTGATTATTTATTAATAATAATAAATCGTTAATTTGCAAAGAAAGTGGTAAATTCATTTCATTAATTATGAAAAAACCGCACAATCAGTCATATAAAAATAATATATTCATAATATATTAAAAATAGTCATATTCATAATAATAAGAACAGTTACAATATTTATAATTGGTGTCAAAACTTATGATCTAAAAACTAAATTATAAAATTCCCCTTGAAAGCATTACACGGCCGAGATTTGTAACTTCTGGGAAGGTGATTAAATAGTTTGATAGCCATCGCGTAACAATTTTTGAAATACGTCGTGATGCAACATACAGGCACCCATACATCATGGGTGTCATACCAGTGTCTGTGAACTTAGCAGAGCACAAAAAAATAGAGTTCTGGCAGCACACACAATAATTCTATAGTTTCTGATAGTTATTAGAAAGACTTTTAAGTCCAGAAAATATAAATAAATTAAAAAAAAACCATATTGTACAGACATGAAAACTCCGTGGTTTCCATTAGATCTATTAGATGTCTAGGCAACACAATTAAAGCCTAAGCCAGAACTCTTCGCTTTCTCTCAGCATACCTGTATGATTAAAATTGGCAAATTATTGACTCTTTTTAGAAAATTAAAAAAAAAAAAATAACTTTTGGGTCTAGACATGGGAACTCCGCGGTTTCTATTAGATCTATTAGATGTCTAGGCAACACAATTAAAGCCTAAGCCAGAACTCTTCGCTTTCTCTCAGCATACCTGTATGATTAAAATTGGCAAATTATTGACTCTTTTTAGAAAATTAAAAAAAAAAAATAACTTTTGGGTCTAGACATGGGAACTCCGCGGTTTCTATTAGATCTATTAGATGTCCAGGCAACACAATGAAAGCCTAGGCCAGAACTCTTCGCTTTCTCTCAGCATACCTGAATGATTAAAATTGGCAAATTATTGACTCTTTTTAGAAAATTAAAAAAAAAAATTAACTTTTGGGTCTAGACATGGGAACTCCGCGGTTTCTATTAAATCTATTAGATGTCTAGGCAACACAATGAAAGCCTAGGCCAGAAATCATCGCTTTCTCTCAGCAGAGCATAACTCTATGATGAAAATTGGGGTTTTTTTTTTTGTCGAAAAGGTTTCGCGAATTATTTAGACTTTGTAACTTGAACAAAATGTTATTTGCCAACAAAGTATTGATAATACATATTTATACCTTATAACTCGGGGCTTCTAATCTATTGTATTTTTCTTGCACACGTGCAATGAATAAATACAATAATTGTTTTTAGTGTCCAGTTTACTTAATTAATATTTAATTCGTTTTAATAGGTACAAAATATATACTACAAAAATTATAATTCAAAATCCACTCTACAAATAGAAAAATAAACATAAAAATCGCGCATCTGTAAGTCGAAATTTCAACAGTTAAATCATATGTACCTACTATCTCGTAGTTCTTGTTAAGTCGAAAACTCGTTAGCTCAATTTTTTTGAATATCTCTTCACATTCGAGTTATCGAGATTCCACTGTATACACCTATATTGAACAAATTAAATTAGTAAGACCGATATATTTAATTACCATTTTCAATAGTTATTGGTATATCTCTTTATATAGTGAACGTCGGCCAACAAATTCATCGATAAATGGAGAAAGACGACGTCATTGGGGAAGTTCGGAGCCACGCTCTTCTGTCGCCTCCCAAGCTTCACAAATGCAGGTAAGTCTTAGAATTGATCCATAGATCTTATGTAGAATACTAAAATAGTTGGTAGTGTTCATATGCATAGAAACAATGTGCAAGATCTAGAATTGAAGCATCAATAGACATGATTAAAATTGATGTTTTTGTACATTTACCACAGAACTATCGCCGCGAAACTGGTCAACCGAAAGCTGGAGTAGTCATAACTTCATTCAGACAATCACATAGGAGGTGGGGCTCATTCCATCTATTCAGTGTTTCCATGTTCTATAACTTCATTGAATTTCTACTCATACGTAGCCTCTGAGAAAGTTCAGTCATCGGTGTGGCATGGTGTGACTATCTTCTATGAAATTTGATAACTCATAAGGCTTTGCACGTCCATTTCATCTAAATAATTCAAAAACTGTTTTTATAATGTTGAAAATGTTTATTTTAATTTGAACAGCTTTGGAAAAGAACCGTTGTGGTGAGTGGGTGGACGAGGTAAAACGTAGAAGAACGTAGCTCCTAGACCTTTGATACGCTTTTAGAGAATTTTGCATTACCTTTTCAAGATATTTTTTAGAGAATCTAGTACACCTACATGAACACAAGGTACCATAACATGCAAACCCCACCTCAAGACACCTTATTGCATTCCAATAAATGATTGTCATTCTCAACCTGGTGTTGTAATTCGATGTAATTCCAAAGAAATTTGAAATATTGATAGCCGAGAAAATAACACATTTCAAACACTTTTTTTATAATGTAATAGATTTTTTAGAATTTAAAAGCTATCACAAAGCATAAGTTAGTATTAGGCTTAGCTTCTATTCGCCCAGTAACAGACAGACCGGCAGATGCACTCGCATAGGATTTTACAGCTCACAATAAGAAAACTAGAAGCCTTTATCTGCATGGTGTTCTCATTTACTATTCCTTACATGAAACATTTTTAGATTTTTGCATGTCTATTATCCGATATCGTCCAGAAAGAATCCTTAAAAACAAATGCGCTCAATATTTAGTCTAAAATAAATGTAATAATATAGGAGCAGTACATCAACTGCTGCAGTAGCCTTTGCTGTGGCTACATCTGCTTCATCAAATCCTCGATCACCGCCAGCTAACTCTCCCACACAAGCGAGAAGAGATTCTGTCATATCAACCGCTGCTACTATGAGAGTCTTGAATGTACTTCGGTAAGATATTATATAAAGCAATATATAATAGAACAAAACATTGTTACTTGGTGTGTGTGGGTAAAGATGCTCTTGCGCATCTCATATTCATTTCTATACAACGCTTTTCGTAATTGGATTTTTTTAGAAACCAAAGATTAACCAGAGAGAAGTAGACTGATTATTTAAGTGTGTTTGTGAAATCTACAATTTACCTGATAAAAAAATAATTAATAATAATAATGATGACCTCTTCCTTCGAGCCTACTAGAGTTTTAATACCTGTTATATAAGGCGTTGAGAGGATGAAGGGGCCAATACACGTCTGCATCTTTATCCAATCCAAGATAATTGGTATTTGACCGGAATTCAAAACCCAGAACTTCCTGGTTAAATACTTATTTATTTTGGCAAATAACCATAAAGTCGGTAAGGTTAAAATTATAACTCCAGGCACTGGATATCGAAACACTCATCTGATTTCTGGTCTGACGAACGTCTTCGCGGTCTTACCATGGATTTCCTGAAAGAGATAGAGAGTAGCCCTGGTCTGCTACCGTCCGAACATAAAGCGGCTTCACAATTATTGCGACTTCTTGAACGGTCTCCGGACAGAAATGTGGACTTAAAAGCCATTTTTGCACCACCAAAGGTACTATTTTTTGTGTTAATTGTTATTGGGATGTATTGTTTATATGTCACTTTGCGTGATGGAGCAAAGTTCTCACTTTTAGAGAAGTTTTAAGGACTTTTCAGTAACTTAAAAACTATTTGCTCATCATTTATTTACCGATAACCATAGAGAATATAAACTTTAATCTATGCGAGTCTAATCTGTCTATGGTTCTCGACAAAATCATGGTATTTTTTTATGAATCGCCGTTTGATTTCGACGTATTAAATTACGCCGCAAAATGATTATTAATTTAATTTTGTTTTTGGTTGGTGTTTCTGCAATACAATGCTTCAATAAACTGATTTGATTTTTTTGGAATGGTTATATAAATTAACTTACCTTGTTTTAGGTACCCACTAAAGAATGTCTCGAGACGTTGTCGGCCCTCGAAATTGCAGAACAGATGACATATCTTGATTATCAGATATTCAGTTCGATTCACAGCGAGTAAGATTATATATTTATTTATTTCAAAATTGCAAGCTTAATAAAATATAACGTGTAATGATTAAACCAAAACAATTTACATGGAATTTTCTTTTTCTCTTACTACGTCTTTTCTCTTCTTTTTTTTACTCTTGTTAAACTTATTGATCTATTTTGTGTGTTATAAATTTCCGATATCCCGTTTGCGTTTTATGTGGCACTCCATGACAATTATTGGAAATTTTGAATAAGAAAAATTTAAATATTGCAATAATTTGCCCTGCATTTTCGATTATATAGGGAGTTCCTAGGACAAGCGTGGACGAAGGCTGACAAAGCAGAACGCGCCCCTCATATACTAATGATGACGGCCCATTTCAACCATATTTCTAGCCTCGTCATCTCAGAGATCCTAAAAAGAGTGCCGTTTCCAGGTAACTTAAAGCTGATTGCTTTACTGTGTGTAAAAATATTTAAAGACAAGTCGAGAGTGGTTGGACTCGTCGATCAACCCTTTAGGTCAGAGAGTAGAATGCTCCACAACTATTTTTTATTGAATAGGTACTTGTTCATGTGAGGTACGAATCTTTAGTCAACTAATATTGATCATCCACTTTTATTATAATTTAATTTAAAGTATTTTAGATTTGCTTTGTCCATCCATTAACTAAGTTTTATGAAAAAATATATTTAGCCTTTTTAAACTTCGAGAAAAACATAACCTCTTTATAGACATTAGAATCGATTTAGTTTACGTGAAAATACCGTTTCTAGGAACCCCTCGCGACCTCCCGGAACTCCAAGAGCACGCTCTCAAATGCCGCGTTGGTTCCATCGAAAAGTGGATAGCCGTTGCGGACATTGCTCGTTGTCTTCACAACTTTAACGGTGTACTACAGATTTGCGCAGCTCTTTCGAATACGTCTATATTTAGACTTAAAATGACCTGGGAGAAGGTTTCGAAGACGGTGAGTTAATTCTGCTTAGTATTTTTAATAATAATCAATAGTCATTTTGTATTCAATGTTTTTATTTAGATATCTTTATTAAGAAAGTTTGTTAGTTATAGAAATGATTAATACGTTCTGATCAAGACAAGCGTATATTGATTACATAGAATGAGTTAATGAAATAATAATCAGAGAGAAATAATAATTTTATTAATATATGAATTTCTATCTGATAGTGGTGATTACTCACCACATCCTACAAGAGTTCTTAAACAAGCTAATAATAATGCAAGATATTTCACTAATTTAGTCAATATATATTTAATATAAAAAATGGTGCGAGTACTTATGTACGCGCGTAAGAAGTTATACTTCTTTGGTTTTCTTTATTTTTTTTAAATATTAAATAATTAATAATAAATATTTAGCGTTAATAATTTAACAATATTTAATATGTAGTATATTATGCAATTATTATTTATTATTTTATTATATTATTAATTCAATTTAATAACTAGGTATGTTTCATAACCTTTTAAATAAGTAACAATAGGTCTTTGTGAAAAAGCATTGCTAATTTTCTTTGAAAAAATAATTAAAACTCCTTTATTTGTTTAAAAGGTACTACAAATGTCATTATGGTCATTCAAAATTCTTGGCATAGCTGCTAACGTCACGCATATTCTATTTTTTTTTTACTTGTAGATTGTCTTATTCCCATCTCGCTCGCGCACGCTCGGCGCCCATACTGTTAATTTTGTGTCACGATGCGCGCGCATCGTAAAATTTCACTCTCATAAATTTTTCATAACGCGCCTAAAGAAGTATAACTTCAAAAATATATATATTTCAGAGCAAGCAAACACTAGAGAGACTACAAAATCTAACATCGTCAGAATGTCGCTTCAGGAATTTGAGAGACGCTCTACACAGGTCAGAAATTAATACGAAAATTTTCATTCAAACAAATGGTTTTAAAAGTGTTTTTTTAATATCGTTTTATCCGCTTGTGTTACAAATATTCTGAATTTTCACATATAAACCTTTAGGAAACTTTATGATAGTTTAGTCAAGTATTCATTTATGTTACAATATATTTTTGACTTAGGTTAACTACTAATGCTTAAATATTTTTCTAGTATATATATGGTAATCTAAAAATTAAACCACTGGAAAAATTGTAGTTGTTATAATGTATACATCAAATATCCTGAAATAAAATGCAATTCACGGCATTAAAACATGTTCTATAAAAGTCTAAAAGTCAACCTCACTGCACACAATATTAAGTTTTAAAATTATAATTGTTTCCGAATAATTTCCGATTTGATATTTTCCTTTAAACTTGATGTAATATGTTTTATAATTCATCAGGTGTGACCCGCCCTGCATCCCATACCTTGGCATGTATCTGTCAGACCTCTCTTTCATAGAAGAGGGAACTTCGAACTTCACACCGGAAAAACTACTCAACTTCTCCAAGATGAGAATGGTAAGTCCTTATTGCGATTTTCAGGTGTTTGTTTACAAGGTTTTCAATTCAGAATATATTTACAGCAACATAAGATTTCTTTAGCACTTGAAAACTAGCGTCTTAAAGTAGCGCTTCAACCAATAGTTTTGCCTTTGTTTTTTTTAGTAGGTCATCAGGCTTTTGACACACGCTGTCGATTTTTGTATCTAAGGCATGTCACTTTCCTCCCGATAATTTCCTTCACCGTTAGAGCGAGTGTTAATTGCGCATTTTTAAGCTATTGCATAGATTTTATCGCGGGCTTTGAGCGCGGCGACCGAATCAAGAAATTCTGTAACGAAAATAAACCTAACACACGATGACGTAATATAGGTGCGGCCAATACGCATTAGAGCGGGACAAAACGCATACTGCGTCTCACATCGGTCTGGCGTGATCGGTGACGTAGCGCAGGTGCGTTAGAGTGAGACAGAACGCATACTGCATATTTACATCTCTTTGACGAGAATAAAAAATAAATAAATAATTATAATTGCATAAGTTGTTAAAAAATGCTATGCCATAGTTTTACCGCGGCAGTCCCCGAGTGCCACACATTTTTTAAATGTTTTACTTATTTATTTACACTTCTTTAAACAATTAACATAATACATAAAAATTATAAGGGATGCATTGGGCGGTCTTATCGCTAACAAGCGATCTCTTCCAGGCAACCGGAAAGGGAAAAAACTAATAAGATGGGTAAAGTGCAATAAGTTCATAACCAGATCTTATAAAAAAAAAATGTCTTAACCTTAATCTAAAATAATACAAAAAATTAATAATAAAATAAACTAAATCTAAACAGCAAATCTCACGGATTCATGAATTGCAATGAAATACAAAATAATAAGAAATACGATAATTACAAAAGACACCATTCAGCAGGATAGAATATGATTAAGAAATGTTTATTTAGAAGAGTCTTAAAAAATGTTATGGAGGGCGCATATTGTTCAATAATACATAGCCCGTGATTCGAACGAACGACCTTAGGGGTTGAGAAGTGAACGAATAATAATTAGGCGAACACTAAAAGACTTTTTAGGTTTTATAAAATGCTGAAACTTAGTTGCTGACCTAATAATATATTAAACATCTCTATTTGACGACGAGACAAATTAATTAAAATCTTTTCAATAAGGTATATATGTACCTTTGAATTTCCACATAACTTGTATCAATTTAGTTTTTCTGGCGTATTTGACATACATAAAGATTATAGATATATGTTCATAGATTAAAACAAATAAAAGAAGTCGCTACACACCGACTTTCCATTTAAATCATTTGAACTACGCTTTCTTGTTTTTACATAAGGCAATAAACAATTTATTAATCTTCATTGAATTTAATTTGTTGCAATTTTTTTACGCGTCTTTTTTTCTCCTTCAAGCCTATTAACGTTGTGTGTGTAATGTGTTATTATACAGTGCCCCATGTTGTTACTCAATTTCTACGAATACAACGAAAATAGACTGTCATAATGGTTTTGTAACTTGCCGCTACAATTGTTGGCAATTAAGCGGTTTCAGTAATCATTGAGACTGATTCTCGTGTGAATGAGATCCTTTGATCCAAAACCATTTCTATATTTAAAACTTCATAGATCACTGTGTACGATTCTCACTTTGACCCCGGCACCAATGGATATTTCTTTCGCACAATTAACACTTGTTCTAACCGACGCGACGATAATCACGAAACAACAATGGTGTGTCTCTTTATCATACAGAATGTGTCTGTCCCATGCTCCATATAGGGTGTACGGAACTTTATACAAATTATACAATCCCCAGAAAGTCATGGAAGTGAACTTTCAGTAAACTAAACCAAAAAAAATGAAATTGGCGGGAACAACGACGACGAAATTTATTTAAATCTGGAATTCCTGGCTTATTCTTCAATATTGCCATATTTATTTAATAAAATTGATTTATATTATTTCAATATTTGAGTGTTTTATATGCCTTTCATACTTACATTTCTCAAAAACTTATTTAATAAGCAAGAAAAAAGAGGTTAATTATGGAAATATTTTTTTTGACAGATAGCTCATGTAATACCGGGAGGATACGTAATTTCCAACAAACGCCTTACAAAATTGATCTGGATTCCAAAGGTAAGTTCTGTTATTGTTAACATTAAGAAAAAACTCAAATAATACGCAGATTAATAATTTTTATATTCACTATATAATATTTTTTTAAGGAACACGAGAGCTTCTTCATGAATAGATAATATTTAAAAAAAAAAAAAAAAAAAAAAAAAAAAAGAGGAAGGAAAGGGGGGGGGGGGGGGGGGAGGAAAAAGGGGGGGGGGGGGGGGCCCCGAAAAAAAAAAAAAAGGGGGGGGGGGGGGGGGGGGGGGAAAGAGGGGGGGGGGGGGAAAAAAAAAAACGGGGGGGGGGGGGGGGGGGGGGGAAAAAAAAAAAAAATGGGGGGGCCGGGGGGGGGGGGGGGGGGGGGTTTTCCTGGGGAAAAGCAGAATTTAAAGGAATTGGGCCCCAAAAAAAAAAAAAGGATTTTACACCAATAATTTATTGATTGGGCGACTCTAGGTATAGTAAGAGCAGGGAAAATACTTTTATAATGCCTAATCTTTGCAAGAATACGAACTTTCATAAACACTTTTTTGCGAAATAATCAAAACTTAAAATAATTAATTTACTTGAAAAACAGACAGGTTAAAGTTCAGGTTAACGGCATAAACTCGTTAGGGTCTGAAATTACAATGGGCGTTCCTCAGGGTTCAATATTGGGTCCATTCTCTTTTTAGTATACATACTCAAAATGATTTACCTAACAATTTGATTTGCCCAGAATTTAAAAACCGAAGATGAAATGTTATTTGCAGTCCTATGAAAGAGGGGGGGGGGGGGGGGGGGGGGGGGGGGGGGGGGGGGGGGGGGGGGGGGGGGGGGGGGGGGGGGGGGGGGGGGGGGGGGGGGGGGGGGGGGGGGGGGGGGGGGGGGGGGGGGGGGGGGGGGGGGGGGGGGGGGGGGGGGGGGGGGGGGGGGGGGGGGGGGGGGGGGGGGGGGGGGGGGGGGGGGGGGGGGGGGGGGGGGGGGGGGGGGGGGGGGGGGGGGGGGGGGGGGGGGGGGGGGGGGGGGGGGGGGGGGGGGGGGGGGGGGGGGGGAAAAAAAAAAACCCGGGCGGGGGGGGGGGGGGGGGGGGGGGGGGGGGGGGGGGGGGGGGGCGGGGGGGGGCGGGCGCGGAAAGGGGGGGGGGGGGGGGGGGGGGGGGGGAAAGGGGGGGGGGGGGGGGGGGGGGGGGGGGGGGGGGGGGGGGGGGGGGGGGGGGGGGGGGGGGGGGGCCGGGGGGGGGAGGGGGGGGGGGGGGGAAAAGGGCGGGGGGCGGGGGGGGGGGGGAAAAAGGGGGGGGGGGGGGGGGGGGGGGGGGGAAAGGGGGGGGGGGGGGGGAGGAGGGGGGGAAAAAAGGAGGAGAAAATGACACATCATTGATTTTAAAGTAGATCGACGGTCACAAAATCGTGACGACGTGAATAACTCTATTCTTCGGGGGCCAAAATTGTTTTTTGGGAAACAATTTGTGGCGCATGGAAAAAAAACTAAATGTATTAGATTTACGTTACCAAATGTTAAAAGTAAGGAATGTGACATAATGTTGAATGAAGGGAAAAACAGGAATTTATTAATCAAACGGTTTTTCTAGGCATCACGCTAGACGAGAAGTTACAATGGGGACCTCATATCACATCTCTTGCGGGGCGGCTGAGCTCAGCCGTTTATGCGGTTAGAAAGATAAGATATTTAACCAATGTAGAACGCCTGGTTGTGGGTTTTTTTCTTTTCCCCCCCCAAAATATAACCGCCCTTTTTTTTTGGGGGGGGGGCGGCCGGACTAAAATCGAATCTATTTTTGCATTAAAAGAGAGCGGTGCGCCCCATAAACCCCCTCCGGGGGCGCGACCCGCAGAGCCATTTATAATCTAGTCCTTTGGGAACTCTCAGGGAACTATTTAAAAGATTAATATTATGACAGTACCTTGCCAATTCATTTATGAAAATATTATGTATGTAAGAAAGAATCTACATCTTTTTAGTAAAATAAAGAAAAAAAATAATTTTAGTACTAAAAAAAAAGATAAAATAGATCAACCATCTTTCAGATTAGCCAAAGTTCAAAATTCATTTATGGGGTACTGTGTGAAATGTTACAATAAAATACCTTGTGACATTTTAAAACTAAATGAACGAAAATTTAAATGTTTTATTAAAAGTACACTTTGTAAACAAGCATATTACAAATTAGATGATTATATTCAAGATAAGAATGCTTGGAAACATGCTGGTCCTGCTCCATAGGACAATTCTAATTATTGCCCTTTTGCCTGGACAAAATCAAATTGGTTGCTGATTTTTTGCTAAAAAAAAATATGTTAATTTTTGTTATTATTATTATTATTATTTTTTTTTTTAATTTATATAATGCTACAAATGTAATTATTTTTTTTGTATCTCACACACTGTTTTGTTGTGTTTTTTTAATATTTTTATTACTCTTTAATGTTAATATTCTAAGGTTTCGATATTTGTAAATATGTGAGGAACATGTATACAAACTTTTTAGTATAGTAGTTTATTCTAAGAGTACATTGTCTTCACATATAATTATTTAACAAATGTAACAAAATATTGTAAACCTATTTTAAAAGAGTAAGTGTGGATTTCTTGCCCACTTCTCCACACGAAACTACCTTTTGGAGGGGCAACTAGAATCATCTTTATATTTTTTTTTTTGACGTTCAAAAGTGCCATTTTAGATGGTCTAATTGAAATAAACGATTTGACTTTGACTTTGACTTTATTGCCATCTTTATTTAATATAATTCATTTATATTATTTCAATATTTGAGTGTTTTCTATGCCTTTCATACTTACATTTCTCAAAAACTTATTTAATAAGAAGAAAAAAGAGGTTAATTTGGAAATATTTTTTTACAGATAGCTCATGTAATCCGCGAGATACGTAATTTCCAACAAACACCATACAAAATTGATCGGATTCCAAAGGTAAGTTCTGTTTTGTTACATTTAATACGCAGATTAAAAATTTTTATATTCACTATAAATATTTAAGAAACGAGAGTTCTTCAAAAATAGATAATAAATAATTTATTGATCTCTAGGTATAGTAGGCGGGCCAAAATACTTTTTAATGCCTAATCCGAGAATACGAATTTCTTTTTTTTTAATTAAAATAATTAACTTCTTATTTTTTATGCAAATATAGATAATAGATATGTTGTAGTTAGATTTATGATATATCTCATTTATGATATATCAGCGTTAGTTTTAATGGTTTAGCTGTATTTGTGGGATGTCAAGGTGTCAAAAAATTAAACAATTGCGTTACTTTTCTATATTTTTTTTAACTTATTATTGTACATTGAACTTATTAGTGAGGTTCAATGAACACTAATAAGTCAGTTTTCAACTGTAATGCATATGTTAACCTCCTATAAGGTTAAAGCTCAGGAATAATCAGTTTCACAGAATATTCTTATTAATCTAGATTACTGCGTCACCAATGTTGAATTTTAAAACTGAAATTTTCCATTAGTGACCAAAAAAAACTTTAAATTAATTCTAATTGACGACATAATATTCGTCTTTTGATGAATAACACAGGGCATCATTCATGCACAATTACTATTACGATTTATTGGTTTTAACAATTAGCAGGTCCCAAGGCTTCTGCAAAACCGATACTTCGACCTAATGATTGGTTGATTTTAATAATGATGACGTCAATTGACGACCAAATTCAGTTTCAGTGGTATTACAAATACAGTGATGTCGCAATCCAGGAATAGCTTATGTAGGTATCGTAGAGAAAACATAATTTAAACTATTTTTTTTGCATTTTAAGGTCAGCGATTTTCTATTGGATCCAGCTCTGGCATACTCTGAAGACATGCAATACTCATTGTCTTTAGAGCAGGAGCCTCGCGCTTCCCGGGGCTCCGCTAGTGGAATTACAGTGACTCCACCCTCGCCCGCCTCACCATCTGCCCAGCGGCGGCGTAGGGCTTCCCTTGCTGCATTAGCACCTCTTAGAGCTGAGCGTTAGGGCTTATCACGGTATAATTTCAAATTAAATTTATATGATTTTTGTACATTGTGATAAGTTTTATTTATATATTCACGAACATTTTAGATTACACAATGGACTAGTTTAAACATATTTTGATTTAGTTAAAAATGTTATTTTTCTATTTATATACATATATGTATTATAATATATACACCTTACACAGGTGTGGAAGAAGCTGCCTTTAATATAAATTAACATATCTGGTTGACATTAAATCTCGAAAAAGCTTTAAACACAACAGCTATAACATCTGAATCAAATTAATTAAGACTTAAAAAGATTTGTTAAGTCCAAAGAATCTTCGTACGTAAAGATCTTCGTACCACCTGATACAATTAAATCATACAAAAACTATGAAAGATGCTTTGATACTCCTATAGCCCCGAGTACATAAATATACTCTAATACCTCGATAATAGAAACGTATTATCTTTATATATATAATTCTTCTGTGAGTGTGTATGTCACTGAACTTCTCTCAAACGACTGGACCGATTTTGATGAAATTTTTTGTGTGTGTTCGAGGGGATCTGGGAATGGTTTAGATTCACAAATCAGCCCGGCAGATGGCACTGCAGTCGGTACTTTCATACTTTGCTTAATATCCTAATCGCTTTAAATATCATGCAGGACAACGTCTGTGGGGTCCACTAGTAACGCTATAAAAAACTATACAACTGATATTTTTGAATCATAATCTATATCTTATATATTAATCTACATACACATAGAAGTACGGGGCTCATGTACGGGCTCATTGGATTTTAAAACATAAAAGCCAAGCAATTTTTGCTTTTTGTGGTTTAGCGTTTCGGCCTTGTTGATGTATTGTTAAAAAGAAATATTTATTGGCAATTTAAAATATATTAGTGAAATGTTAATAAAAGTCAAACGAACACTCAATTGCTCTATTTTAAGTAAGTCTTGGGTGAGTGACTTATCTATTTGGACATAGGTAAGTGATTCTGCCCTTTGCTCATGACTGTCATTCTTTCTTGCTCAATGTCAATTTACAAATCTCTTTTTAAAATAAACTCTAGATACGTAGAAATCTATAATTGTATAACAGATAATTATAAGTACATAATTTAATGTGATAATTACTTTCAATTTACCAACAAGCTACATTAACCAAACTACATTACATAAAATTAATATATTTTTAATTTATATGAATTTAAAAATAGAAAATTAGCACTTATTATAGAACTCCTTATTATTTTTAGTGTTATTTCTGTTGCTAGAATAAGAAATAAACTTATGAAAAAGTCTATTCTTATGTAAATTTCTAAATATCAACTTATATAGTCAAGTTTGTTGTTTCTATTAAATGTTAATATACTCTTGTTACACCTAGGTTAAGAGAAAGTCTTGTTGAATATAAGCTGTGCTGTACTTCATTTGTTTTAAAAAAGGGTCGATTTTTTAAAAAAGGAATTCCCGAGGAGACATTTTTGCTTCTTGTCAATAAACCTTTATATATTTTTTTTTATTGGGCTCAAACAAGACGTTGCACAGTGGTCTGAAATTCCCAAAAAGCTGGCCAAAATATGAAGATGTCATTGGAATTCCATGAATATTGGTAAACTTACGTTTTCGGGGTCGTTGATCACGAATTCGAAGTAAATTTGGAATAACAAAATGGCGGATAAAAACGGCAAAAAAATTCTTCAAAACGTGTTGAATTCGGGTGAAATATCATCGCATAAAAATTATAACCGAAACCGAAGTCGCAGCTAGTTGCAGCTAATGTTTGGATATGTTCTGAAGAAATGTCTTAGCAATAATTTCCATCCAGTAAAGAGCCAGATTCGACAAGAGTTTTGACATATTTCTTTTTTTAACAGGACTTCTCAGAATGTGACCAAGGAAAATACCACTGTTTTCATTAATAAATTACTATTTCATACATTGTTTAAAATAATTTCAAGCGAGACATTCGGATTGAGCTAACTTGCTGTAAAAGAATACATTTTGCAAAATCTAAATTCGATAACTTTTCGCGAATCTACACGTGTCTGCACTTTCTGTTATTTTCGACGCGCGACGAGTTGATGCGGCATCCCCGCGGCTCACGAACGGAATGGGTTCCCAAGCCAGGTAGGGTTGATTCCCCATTTATAACGGTCATACTAGGTAGGTATACCACTACAACTATTCCAACCATTAAAAGTCAAAAAAGACAAAATATATTTTTTCCTACTTTTGGCCAGCTTTTAGGGATTTCAGACCACTGTGCGTTGGTAGGAAACATAGCGGTCGGATATTATAATTTTGGCATTTTGTAGCATATACATAATAATAAAACAAACATGAATATTAATGCTCATATCGACGTAGGAAAGCATATTTGCTGTAAGCATATTGCAATTGTTCACCAGAGCCAAAAACTTAATTAATTTCGGAAAAAAATTAATAGTGTCGAACCTATCCATGATATTGCTACCATTTTTGAAACATATATTTATTTAACTGCCAGTCACCATTTGCAATGTAAACTTTTTATCCAAAGTTACTATAAGTACGTGTTTGGCTAGTTACAGCATACAGTTTTTTAAATCATAAACCTTTAAAACGCTGTATCTAAGGAAGAAAAATGTACGCGCGGAAATATTATCAATTTACAGGCGGGAAATATGCTGTATGCAGTAAATTTATGTATTTGGGTACTTTCAATTGCAATTCAAGATGTAAGATTAGTTTATAATTATGATTAGATCTAGAAATGCAGTGGGTCATTTGGTAATGTAATGTTTGGTTGAAATAAAATGTCGTAAATGGTAAAAAAAACTAAAACTGTACGTATAGGTTCCCTAAACTTGCTGTAAGTAAACGAATGTAAAAATCACACGCCGCAGAAATGCTGTAAGAAGCGTTAAGTTTTTAAATGGGAAGTAGTAAGTATTTGTAAAGAAAAAAATGCAGTTTTTCTTTTGCTGTAAGTACAAATTGTCTATAATGACTGGATTTTGGTCTACATACAGCATTTAATCTTGCTAAAAAAAATATAAGTATGGGCGTTTTCAACCGCGTATGTAATTTTTTTTTCATCGTAGAGACACAGGACCCGGGACATTCGATGCGGTTTTCTGATTCTAATGGTAGTAAAAAGTCACTTTAGGTATTTTGTCTACTTACAGCAAATATGCTTTCCTACGTCGATATGTTTAATTGTTTTTTGTATATGAATACAATCAAGTTATTATGTATTACTTACGCAAAAATAATTAATAATCAAAACGTCAACACGAATAAAAACTTTCACGAGTTGCTTCAATTTATTTTTCTACATAATTTATTTTGTCCAAAACTGATTTTGAATTACCGCTGTATTCGCGTCATTCTTTCGAATTGCTGTGCACAAATATATTGTTCGTCAACGTCAACTCGTTTACGAAATTAACGGCGAATATTGTCGACCCAAAAATATTAAAAAAAAAGCTGTGCCCAAAACCAAGGAACGTAGAGCAAAGACTTTATTTTATTTAACCTCTTTATCATTTGTCATTGACTGAACGTGATCTCAAGTGAGAGTAGTTGTCTTAGGTCTTTTCTACGCCTTTTCTAGTTAATGTTAGGGGCCTATTGTATCTTGGAACGGGCCTAGCTAACTTATCAAGTATATATTATCATTCCTTAATTCATCTTAAAATATTTAAAAAGATATTGCAATTATTCATAACTCTTTTAGATTTTGATGAGATAACTAGGCCCAAAATTAAAACATAAGCCTGACATGTCTTATGATAATTTAAATATATTATAAACACACCGATGTCGGTTGTCTAAACGCTTAAAACAAATATAAATGTACTAAAAATGGAGGTGCAATCCTATAACATCAGAGTGGTACAGTAGATTTAAGTTCACAAATTATTCGTGTTATTAAGTAGGGAATATTACCAAAAACTTTTTCCTTTCTAGCATTTAATACGCACTTTGAATATATTCGTGAAGCTTATATACATAAAAAAACATCTATGAAAATTTATTATTAAAATTTTCCTTTAATTTTACGATTCCACCGGCCTCTCTGACATTATAAGGTTCTGCCTATCATTCTGTACTTTGTTATAGTATTAAGTAATTGTATGAATTTTTAATCGTATATCCACGACCTAATCGCACGTTTATGCCTCTATCTTCCCGTTCCTAAATTATTTTTAGATAGTCATCATTTTGTCTCTGTTAACAATTTTTGCATTAAATGCACAAATTCTTATGATCGATTAGAATATCTTTAAAGTGTAATATCCTCATCTACCTCTTTTTATTAAAAATATTCTGGTATATTTATATATATTTTAACTTAAAAATATTTAATGTTAGATGTATCGTAGTTTAAAATGAATGTTAACTTTATTTGTCGAGTAGATTTGTAAATAAACTGGATTATTTTTCCAAATATCAATCAAGCTATTTACATAGTTGCTTATGTAATGAAGGAAAACATTGATTATATTTGCGATATGCTAAACTATCAATATTTATTTGATGTGTTTCAATTACTGTTCTAAAAGTAACAATTATTTAAGAGTAATTATTTCTTTACGAATTACTTTGTGAAAGCTGAACATAAATTATTAAGTATGTATTGGGAATCTCAAATAGCACTGATGACGCTAAACTCAGTATTAGTTAAGTATATATTCAAGGTCAATAATATTTTCACTACAAATAAATAAAATATTGTTAAACTCATGAAATTGTTGATCGAATGAAAGAATTGAAACCAAATATGAAGCTATATGAAGTTCCCAATAAAACCCTTCTGTTATGGTTGTTGACTGGATTTATTGTTGTCTCTTCTTAATAAAGTTGTATAAAGTTACTTGTTTTTTTTTTAATTTTCTTTATGCTATAGGGGCACGGCAGTGAGCCAAGTCGAGCGAAAAGTGGCACGGCTGTACCATCCTTTTCTCGAAGCAGCTCAGGCTATTTTCGAACTCCCTATTACTTCGTAGTAGATTTAGAAGCCTGAGCTACCAAGTTGTTGACACTAAATAATCTAATTTAATATAATATGTATTACTTGTATACGTAGTTACAATGTGTTTCCATGCGATGACCAAGTCAGTAAGTTAAGTACTTATTTATTTAAAACATAATAAAAGATCTGTAATATTGATATGGTCAGTATATTCCAACAGTTATATTGCAACTTAGCAACATTTATTGCTATGCTGACGACAGCACAAGGGATACTCTACACTGGCTATGCAGGTATTTCTCGGGCAAACGATCAGTAACGGAACAAAGTTGTATCTTAAGACGAAACCCTGCTACGGGGAGTTTCCGATTGGGGTCGACTAAATCTAGTCCAATTTAACCTCAAGAACACACAAGATTGCGCGTTTTCCACTAATAAAACCTTTTGTTGCTACTCCTCTGTTCTGAAACACTTTTGTTAAAGAAACAGTCAGCATCTGAATACTTGGCGTTAATACCTGCAGCTGAGTTTCATCACCGGACGTCGCGGCAGAATTCGAAATTCCACCAGTATCGCCTCGACATCCGTCGTTCCACAACTGAGCGTTTCTTAAGGCAGTATTTGCCGCGCAACACCACTATGTGGAACTAACTGCCCGCTGAAGTATTTCCGAACCAATTCGACTTAAGGTCCTTCAAGAAAGAGCGTACCAATTTTTAAAAGGCGAGCCCGTAAAAATTGGCTTTGGGAGTTTCCATGGGCGGTATCAGGTGAGCTTCCTACCCTGTTATATAAAAAAGTACAAGATATTGTTCGGTTAGCGAATTAACTCATAACTTAAGGCAGAAGATCCCTCTCTGGGGACAATATGAACCGACAAGGATACATGGATCTCACAGCTTTTTACAAGTTATGTTTTTAATAGCAAATTATTCACTTATCTAACAATAGCAATAAGCCCGTCATGTGGTTAATACGTCAACACAGTTCAATATTTTAGGAGTTTCCGATGACAACTAATGTATTGAGAAGATCGACCTCGTGTCTTATTTGATAATAGTAAATTATTTTCCAGTTCTACGCCCTTGATTTGGGAACTGGTAGTAAATGTAAATTTAGATTCCTTCCCTTCCTTTTTCAAACATTTGATATTAAATCGTGATTTTCGTTAAGGACCACAGGTAATCTATTAACTGTAGTTATTCGACTGTAACTGATAACTAACTGGATAAACTGTAGCAATATTTAACTGTATCGACGGTAGTAACTGGATAAACATTAGCAAAGCTTTTAAATCTTTTGACTGTAGTAACTAGATAAAATGTAGTAACTATATCAAACTGATAAACTTTATTAAAACTTTTAACTGTATCGAGTGTACGAAGGGAAATTAAATATAATAATAGAATACATGGCTACCCTGCCAGGGTAAGCGTACAGAGTTACAAATATAATTAAATAAATTTTCATTTAATACGGTAAAATGTTGCGTAAATACCAAAGATCGTAGGTACCGGTGATACTAATTATTATTGTAAAATAAAAACAATAATGTGCATATATATCACAGCATTAAAATTTCACCGTATATCCTACACAGTACCTACGTACATAAAATAATTCACGTAATATATGACGTAATATCATATGGGAGAGGCTTTATTTGTTCACGTTATTACCGTCATTTAACTTTTTATTATACCTACTGCTGACAGGCGCCAGAGGCGATATTGACCTAAATTAGTGTGCTTTAATGTTCCCAACTAATTGCTACTATTAATAGTTTTCTTTGTAATTGTAGTGGTAATATTAAATTGCATAATAGGTTAACAAAATTAGTTTAATATTAAAAGGAACTATTTGCTTTTGCTAAAAGGACTGATGATTTTAGGAGCTTGTTAAATAATGTTGTTACTAGATTAAAGAATAAATAATACAAAGAAAACAATTGAATACTTTATTTAAACATTCACTGAGTTCTTTGTGCTTTGAGCCTCTTCAAGGTCCTTGAGTAAGGGGCCTTTACCCCATATCCTTCTGTTCTTCGTGTATGGTATTATACCAATGCTTATACCAGATATGACAAGCCACACACCTCCACCGTAGAACGTAGACTCCCAGTTTCCGGTTAAGTCAAATAACAGACCTGAAAAGGAGACGAAAACTGAGCGTCCGGCGAGCATGCTGAGGTGTATTGGTCACGTCATTAAGCATGAACGTGAAATGCCGGCAATACACTCGCGAGCTTTGTGGCATTGAGAAAAGATTTTTAATTATAGAAATCTTTTGCTTAAACTTCGTACTAACGTACTTCTAACAAGACTCTTACCTCCAAGTGGTGGTCCCATCAAATGTCCCACACCCTGACTTAAAAGTATAAACCCGTAAGCAATAGTAAAATAATCGATTGGCATCAACTCCATAAGAATAGCCGGGGTATAGGAGTAAGAACTTGCATAGGACACTCCGAAGATTGTAGAAATCACCACAAGCCCCCAGTAGTTGGTGATGAATAGTGGATAGGCCCCAACAGAAATCCCACATATAATAAGACAAGTCGCGTAGGCTTTAGTTACGTTGATCCAAGGTTGGTCGCCGGCCCATCCCAGAGCCACCTAGAAAAGTTTGCTATCATTAAGAAATCATCTTAATTTTTAGTTTTTCTCGTGTCGCGGTGTTTGTAGTTAAACTTCTCCGAAACGGCTTGACCGATTCCCATGAAATTTTGTGTGCATATTGGGTATGTCTGAGAATCGGACAACATCTATTTTTCATCCCCCTAAATGTTAATGGTACCCCTAAATGATTTTTTTTTAATTTTTAGAGAATTTTTTTATTTTTATGATACTGCATTAAAAAATACATACAACCCCTAATTTTCACCCCTCTACGATCCATCCCTATTTTTTATTATAAATGATATACATGGCAAAAGGACGTTTGCCGGATCAGCTAGTAATATAGAAAACTTATCTTAGGTTCGTTACTATTAAAAATCCGTCAATCCGATATGGCTCAAGATTGACATTTCTAAGTTATAGTTTGTGGATATAAAAAAAACATGTTAATATTGTAGTTCTAAACGAGGTTGTCATATTGTTTATAGAATTTAGTGCAAACGTTAAGTTTGAATTTAAGAGATTAAAATAGTAATTAAATATTGATTTTTAAATGAGGTCGTTGTCAATAAAGCATTATAATTATTATTTCATTTAGATTGTTTCATGTAGTCCTAGTGAGATAACAATATAAGCCTTCATCTAAATATACCTTGATAAGATAAAAAACCTTGTATATAAATGTTTTGAAAACGAGATAATATAATTGTCACTTAAAGTAAAACTTAAGTTCTATAAATAGAGATTTTAACAAAATGTTAAAAATTAGTCTACAACATTTTTAACTTAGTTTTCAGTCTTAGTTTATGTTTAGTCAATAACATAAAATTCATGTTTATCAAAGTCATCATTTTTTTAGAAAGGGTAATCAAGGAATACAGCTTCTTATTAAATCTTTAAGATTCGGCAATTTGGACGGCAAAAACAACAAGGAAAAATGCTTAACTAGTAGTTTTTACTTTTGTTATTGTTAACAACTTATTCGCCGCAAACTTTATAATTTTTTAGTTCCTAAAATAATGTACTCACTATACCAAATCCACTGGCGATACCAATGACGCTTATCATCAGAGCTCCTCCTTCCATATTAACAGAGGTCATATAGGATTTCAGAAAGAAGTAAGGTATAATCGCCCAAACAAATAATAGGAGAGAGCCAATGTTGAACATAATGAAGTGAAATTCGATGAACATCCTCATATCAAATATAGATTTTAGGCCATCCATTAAGCGCTGGTACCATTTCTATAAAAATACATTCATTTGAGCCAGAATTTTTGGGCGCTTGTTTAGCTAAATTTACGAAAACAAAGCTAAACATCAGCACTATTAAACAAAATCTAGGAATAAATTACAATCTTTGGAGAAAGAAACACTTCAAATAGAGTTTAAAAATACAAAAACGTTATCTCCCCGAACCTCTTGAAGTGTGCGTAACTTAAAATAAATTATAGACAAAAATAGTAATACCCACCCGCAGCGTTTTAAAATTTCATGCATTTTGGCGTGTTTGAACTATTCACGGGTTGAGTTTAATCAATGCGGACAACTTACCCGTGCATCATCTGAATAATACGAATTGAGAGACCATGTTGAATTTTTATAAATGTCTGGCAACGATGAAGCTCTGAGCTTGTACCTTGGTATATTCATCATGGCTCCACGATGCATTATTGTATTTCTATAAAGCGGCATGTCACGAAGATAATGATGATCGGTGTTAAATTGTCTGGAAATCCAGCTAGCGGTAGTCGGTAGGGTTTTAGGGTGATCTTTATTGACGTGTATTTTTTCTTGGGTACCTTTTTCGATACTCATGTTGTTATCTTTTTTATAATCGACTACTGATGTTTTCGTTTCACTCTTTGGAATAGTTTTTGGGTTATCTTGAGATCTCGTTGGTTTACTAGAATCTGGTGCATCGGAACTCTTTTTCGTCGTTTTAGATTTGTCTTCTTCTTTCGGTCTTTTCGCCATAACGGTCACTTTCATTGGTACTGGTTCGTCCACGTTATTTTTATCGACAATGTCAACATGTAAATTTTCCTCTGATCGTCTTCTAGTTATTAAATGAGGATAGTTTTCTAGTATTATTCTGTACAGTTTTTTATTTTTCATTAACCGTTCGATCACTTCCGTAGGTATCTGAAAAGTTATAGTCAATTAATAATGTTTTATCGACGCTGTTTCAAAATGATTTTATGGGAATAAAATTACTTACCTTATCATGTCTTTGAATAAAAGTTGGCAGTTGTATGTCAGAATGCGTTCTTTTACAGGATTGCTCTGCATTCATCTGTGTTGTTACCGCCAACTGTTTGGCTTCAGCTAATGTCGTCGTTAGTGTGTCCAAAATATATTCAGGACTTTCTCCACTCTTTAATAGATCATTTAATTCATCTATGTTTAAGAAGGCTGACTCTCCTCCTACTGATCTAGATGAGACAGAACCGGCGCTAGAAGACTTTCTATGTCTAGTCTTTGCTCCTTTTTTTTCCCTGGCTTCTTTAACTATGAGCCAATCGGGGTCTCTCATTAATGCACCACAAACACACATATTTAGTATAGTACCTGCCAATAGCACCAACGTGTTTCTCCAATCATATAATTCTATAAAATAATTCGTCAAAGGCGAATATATTAAAGTACCGAACCCGATTCCACATGAAGCTAATGATACGGCTAAAGTTCTTCGCTTATCAAACCAAAAAGCAACAGATACAACTGATGTAACATATAAAATTCCCATAGCTAATCCACTGAGTGTACCCAAGGTTAGGCAAAGCATTTCAATAGAATCGCTTAATGCAGACAGTAAGAAGCCACATGTAGATAGAACCCCAGCAATCATAGTCATCGTTCTGCAACCATACCTATCTACTAGAGCACTCATGATGGGTCCGGAAATCAAAGGTATAGATATAAATAAGCTTCCAATAAGAGAGGTTTTTGATTGTGATGCATCGAAGTAATTAATGAACTCTTCGTGCAATATACCGAAAGAGTAAGCTAATCCATCAGCACAGGCTGATACTAAAAAGGCCGCGAATACAACCACCCAACCCCAACCACCGTCGGGAATAGGAGGCAATTTATTTTCATCAGTCTCATCGGAACAAATACTATTATCATCTAATCCTTCGAATTTTACTCTTTCTCCAGCTGGCGAGCCCTCTATAACAAAACGTGCTAGGATTTCGTGGCTATTTCTTGATTTTATGGAATTTATTTTGTCAATATCTTGTTTTAAATCTTCTCCGTTTTCTTTGTGAGCGTCGCCATTCAGGTTATATGATTCGTTTCCGACCATATTATCTTTTAACGTGATATTTGTTTTTCACTGAAACTTTTTGGGATCTAAAACAATAACAGAAGTCAACTATTATGTAAATAAATATGTTATAGAATTATGTTAAGGCCATAAAATGCTAAGCTTTGATGGAGCATGTACTATTACGGAATATTTAATTCAAAATACGGTAGAGATGTTTATCATCATAATATCGCCATGCACTTAATAATTAGTCATCAATTAAGAATGTGTGAAATGTAGCTAACAGTTATCTAAGCTATATCATATATGTATAATTGATAGCTTTTTATTTCATATATACATCATATGACCATATCCATCATCAACTAATCACGACCTAATTCTTAAGTCCTAGGTAAGGTTATTTATTTATCTCCATACCGTATTTAGCTTTAATTATGTTAAAAGAAGTTGTATTATTGGCAGGCAGCTTTCATTTTTGTTAATATCATATAAGGAGGTGCTATGTATACTGGAAAAAATAAGATGCGTATCACTCATTTATAACATGTGCGTCTGTTAGCACATTTTTGGATATTCATTAAAATATTTAGCATTCCTTTGTTGGAATCAAATAATTATTGGTACGGAATTAATTTAAACATTTTTCCTTATTCCTAAATGGCTCTATCATTGTTCAATAACAAAAGTACATACTCTGTGGCATAATTATATTGATTGGAGCTAGTGTTTTGTTGTTTTAATGACAAGTAATACCTAGGTGCCTAATTTCCCGTCTGTCTTTTAATTTGCAGTAATCGTAAAACGCGTATTGAATTCAAAACACGAATTCCAAAGACATCGAATCGTAAACGTGTCAAGGGCGTGGGTTATTTTTAACAGTCGTTGAGATGTCACTATTTTCCATACCAATCATTATCAGTATATAATAATTTTTGCAGGTGTAAATATCTAATTAATCTAATATAATCTCAAACTTAGTACGACAAAGTTTAACCTGTTTTAGTACCTATCTTTAGGAATACATATAACAAAGCTTAAAAAACGGTAAATATTCTATCATCAATCAGTCGACAGCTTTTGTTAAATTTTTCTGATATAACCCAGAGCACGTATTTAGGCGATAATTATCTTACTGACTTATTTAAGAGTTTTTCGTCTAAATTTAGTACGAGTTGCAAAACACTGGGATGCAGGTGCGTTGGTATTTTGATTTATTTTCGTCCATTCAACTCAGTTCACAATAATTACCGACAAATATACCGACAGTTTAACAATAATTTGTAATAACATTTCTGTCTTTGTTATGTATTATATTTCTGTATTAATAAGAGACTAAACTCTAAACAGCTTAACATAGTTAAATATCGCTAAATAATCCCTAAATATGCTTTGAGAAAGATGAACCTACAGCGCATTTTCCGGACCGTAAAATAAATATATAAATAACTATGTATATGGAGGCTGCATATCTATGTATCTTATATCGTATCTCTCGTTATGCCCACCTTTATTATATAGAGATAAAGTTAACAATATATAAAATTCTAATATGGCCGTAATACTAGTTTCAACTCTCGAAACAATAAGTAATAAATAACACTTTATACACACTTTATTGATTTATGTAAGCTTTTACTAGTATAACCCATAATGTATCGTCAAAATTGTTGACGACAATATACCTAATTAGACGTTTGCCATCTATTATAATTTAGTACGTCGAAATGTTCTCCTTTAAGCCTCAGTTCATACATAATATGCATTTACTGCCGGCTATTTTAAAAACAGACAATGGAAAAGTTGAGGTCAGTGACTCATCGATAAATGACTGAAAATAATGTGTCATTAATTTAATACGATATATTCCTATGGGTATTTATCTTGTTTATTAACAAAATTAAGTGTTTTATAAAAATTGTTAAAATCACGATATTTATTACATTTTACGTAATTAGTAATTATAATGAATTATTATAATACGCGAACAATTGTTTGAAAGATTTAAATAAAATAAATTCTTGATTCAATGGATGAATTAAAAAAAACTGCAGAATCAGCCATCTGCAATGCAAATGTTTAATTATAATTAAAAGCTGTTCAACTGTTTTGTAATATTTATGTTTCTATATGTAAACATATAAACTTATAATTTTAGATGTTCATTCATTTTACTAGATTTTCACCTTTTCACCTGGCGATAAAATGATAACACAACCAGTAAGGGTCATGGTTTCGTCGCAAAATAATCAGATTACGGTTTTCATTATCAAAATTACAATTATTTATTTTTAATTTAATAAATTTATTATAATGAATTAAAATTGACTGACGTTTCGAGTGCACAAACAAGCATAGTTAAAGGTTGATTGTCAAGTGCCAAAAATATACTCGTATGTCATACTGTAGATTATTCGAAAAAAATAATTAATTCCATCCGAAAATGTGTATTTTCTTTGTAATACTAATTTTTATCATTAACTTTCATTTCGATATAATTAAATTTTGCCTGCAAGTACGGAAAATGTAAAAAAATTATATATACACAATGAATTAAATATTATATACTTATACGTTTGTACACAAAAAGTTTACACACACATTTGTTAAAAAAAATATAGTATATCTTTAATACTACTCCAATTACTCAAAATTAACAATTTCAAACTTACTTTGAGCATTTGCTGTGCAATACTCGTACATTCTAGTTACCGGAATTAATTCAATATTGATAATAAATATTCAACAGACGGCTGATAAGTAAAACGGATCGATAAATAACAGAACCCGAATATAAATTGAACTTACCTCATATATGGTTTTAGGACACTTATGTATTAATTATTACACATGCATTTGACACGTCTGTTTGCTCAGACGGTCATGTGTACACTGAAGGGAATCGTCATCTTACGTGAGACTGGATGGATGCTGTGTCGCTGAAGGTTCAGTGATAACGAATTGTTGGATTCGAAACGGTCGTAAAGACTAAATTGAAAGTACAGTTTTGATCGGAATGAATCGAGTAAATTATATTCATTTAACATTTTGCAGTCAATGTAGGCCCAAAATTAAGTCATTATTACAAAATATAATCAAGAGAGATATATTAAGAGAGATATACGAAGCTATCTAATGAATCATTTCACGATTAAAAGCTTGAAATTATAATATTAAAAGGTAGAAATATTTTATTAATTGCAAATTTAATTGTAAATTTTTGCTTTCCTAAACTTAAATGTTTATTACTTATTCGTTGAGCGAGGAAAGCACAAGTCACCGGTGCTATCGCCAACTTAAATCTTTAATTACCACTTGTGCACTTGAACCCCACGGCCCAAGAGTATACTTCCAAAGGGAACAAAATTGAAGTTGGAGGAAATACTTTTATATTTGAGCCGTATATTGTTTTGTCTGCGGCGCCCAGCTTTTTTCCTTTCCGCAGGAGGTAAGTCGAGGCTAATTAGATTACTTAATGGTTACATTGTCTTTAAAAGGAAACAGTGCCTGAAAATGGGTCGCACGCATTAACATCATTCGCCCGCGTAAAGTCATGTCGACATAATGAAGGTGGGTGTAAAAAAGAAGCACAATACAGTTTTGAACTTTATGAAATTATCTGCATACAAAAAAAAGATTTGGGTGGCCCATAAAGCCCTAATACTTCACTGAAAGAAACCTAATGATAATAATAACTCATTTTCGATACTTCATAGACGTAATGAAACAGAACCGTTTTTGAAGAGATTGGTGTTGAAAAGTGGATCGTGTACGATCGTGTCGTAGTCTAATATTGGCCAGGCTTCATAGACTGTGCTGTATCACGAATTAGCTCGCAATCAGGTGATGCTGTGTGTATGGTGGTATTGGAAAGGCAATGTTCATTATAGGCTTTCACCGTTGGGCAGAACAATCGATTTGGTTCTACTGTCAACATCTGATGAGATTCAAGCAAGAAGTTGAGAGAAAGCCACTGAAACTGATAAATATAAAAGCTGTATACTTTCATCACAATATCGGTAGACACCACCTTACGACACTCAGCAAAAATTAAAAAGTGGCTGGGATGTGTTAATACGTACAATAATAATATATTCCTGACCTTCAGAATATTCGCATTCGGTCTCTTCAGGATCCTTGAGGCGAGACAGGAGTCTTGATGTTAACCTGACATCTGGAAATCCTTTTCCAAAACGAATTGTCTCGATTGGTTAGGAGTATATTATTCTACAGAAACAGGCTAATGGCACAAATAATATATAACTTTGAGTATAAAATTTCTTAGTTTTATAGAATGTAACTAACGAGTCAACACTTAATGGCGTTTGTTAAAATAAAATGAAATACTGTGATACTACCTAACAAACTGATTTAGTCTTCTAACAAAATATATAAAAGCGATTTAACGTGCTTTTGAATTTACTTTTGTAACGACTTTAAAATATATTTTTTTTAATTTAACCTACATTAATAAAAAAACACTAAAGGATATACCTATTAGAGAGTAACAAGTTTAAATAGTTTATTAAGTCAATCGTAAAATTAAGCATTTTATAGATGTTGTGACACTCGAATACAAATAGACTGCGTCGATATATTGTGGTTTTGATCAAGTCTGCACAAATACAAATCAGTATCCACGCTTTGTAGCGGAGTGGTCTTATCATTATTCCTTTATTTTTATGGTCTTGTAAAAAAACGTAAAAAGATTCAATTTTTCATAAAATTACATTGTTATTGAGATACCGTTATTTCATCATACTTTATATTTTGACAAATATAACGCATGCAATAGAAATACACGATAGCTATACCTGGATGGCTGGATATCGTTTTTTAAATTTCCTCTTCACTGAACATTACGATCTATCCTAACTTAAGACTTATAAATTATTTAAGTGTAACCTAATTTACTAATAAAAAGAAATATTAAAAAAAAAACGACGGGTTGCACTCCGGGAGTGCCGGCAGAAGTGCAAACTTGAATATTAACATTGTGCATTTTTGATATTTTGGAATGGTTAGGGAATAATTTT